CTCGACCGGCGCGAACAAGTCGGCCACAGCAGCGCCGGCATTGACAAGGGGCGCCGAGCCCACCGTACCAGCAAGGAAGCGCAAGATTATCAATGTCTGGATATTTTGGGCAACAGCGGCGCCGACGTTGAAGATGACCAGCGCAGTGTACGTCGACAGGAACACGTATTGCCGACCGAAGAGTTCAGAAAGCGGCGCCCAGAACAGTGGCCCGATCGCGAAGCCAAGGACGAAGAGCGAGATCCCCAAGACGCCAACTTCTGACGAGACGTTGAAAGTGCGAACGACATCCGGCAGCGCGCCAGAGAATGCGGTGCTGACAAAGGCCACAATGAAGGCGCTCAAGGCTTGCAGGAAGATGATTGTCCATTTTTTTCTGGACGAGAACGCTCTTGGATTCCGGTCGTCAATTGGGAGAAAATCAACAATGAATGGCGATTGGGAGGTGCCATGGCCGGGGTATGAGTGTGCAATGACTTGGGAATCAACACCGGCCTGGTCAAGGAGACATTGGAAGTGGCTTGATCTCGATGAGTTTTCCCGGGGTTCTTGCTCTACTTTCTCTGGATCTCTAGAGAACCCTGGCCTCTGTGGCGGTGCCATGTCAACACGTGGAATGGTTTCCATTTGGCGGCTGGTTCCGATGGCTGCAATGGAGATCCCAGATGCTACTACACTACGGTAAGTGAAGTACTACACACCACAGGCTCTTAATTTTAAGGTGGTCCAACGGCTAAAGTCCTAGATGCAGACAGTCACGCCAGTTGACACCATCGACGCATATGTGATGGAACCTCGATCGGGGATAGGGCTTGGAACGGTTATGCATCCTGAAAGCAACCTACAGCTGCAGGTACTCTCTGCCGGAAACCTTAAAGGCCAATGAGCTTGGCTTGATGTTGGCCCAGTAGCCACCGTTATCTTACTCGTTCCCATATACCCAATTGGGACCCTTCGAATCGCTCCACGCGCTCGCACCGCCCAGCCTATCGAGAGAAAGTATTGCGTCTTTGCATTTCCATTACGAAATTATTTATTTCAAGTGGCCCTTCCAAGATCTCTTAGATCTTGTGAGAAGACATTCAGGAACTAAATTTACGATTCATTCTCCACCTTATGGAGACAGTGCCCATATTCTCAACTCTAGTGTTTTGCATGCTCGTACCCGGTGCTTTTTCCAGAGGACCTAGTCTGCTCATCGTAAGACCAAGAAAGAACATGTGGCAATGTGCATTTTTCCTGTACCAATCTGCAATACCGTTCCCGGATTCCTGATTCGAAATACGCTCGGCTATGCAACGAAGTACAAACGGAGATGTACACCATCTCGGCGTCCTCTGCATTAATGACAAGGCATGTTTGTTTTTAGACCGTCTTTGGTGCTCTTCAATATTGACCCTTGACCCAACCATATTGAATCAAGTCTAAAATTGCACATCTTCATTGGCCCACACAGTCTCACAAGTTTCGTATCGTCTCATCCACACAATGGCACCCTCGGTTGACAAATCCAATGGAGCCACCGAAAACGGGAACTTGGTGAAGCAGATGAACAGCTCCTCGCTGATTAAACATCTCATCCCCGAAGATGAACAGAGTCCTGTACCTGGGTTGGACGACCCGGTTAGGATGACGCAGAATGCCACCACCGCGCACATCTTGACCGCGAAATGGACCATAGCCGAAGGCTGGGCCGATCCGGAAATTAAAAGGTATGGGAACATTGAACTTCCCCCAACGGCAAGTGTGCTACACTACGCCACGAGCTGCTTTGTAGGTCTCCCAATTCGTGTCCAGAAGCATGTGGGGAAGTTCCGAATACATTGACTGACAATTGCGTGGAATAGGAGGGCATGAAAGCATACCGTGGTTTCGACAATAAGCTGCGTCTGTTCCGCCCATGGCTCAACTGTGCGAGGATGCGAGAATCGAACGAGCGTGTCTCGCTCCCTGATTTCGATCCTGAGGAGCTTCTGAAACTCATCTCTACTTTTGTAGCCACTGAAGGCCCGAGGTGGCTACCAGATGCCGGATCTACCTTTTACGTCCGGCCGGCCATGGTGGGGAGCGGATCTGCGTTGGGTATTAACAGGCCAGGCGAGGCACTGTTCTTTGTTTTTGCAGCCCTGTTTCCTCAGTCTAAGCCGGGTTCAATCAATCCTGGTATCCGCCTCATTACATCCCAGCCAAGCCAAATCAGGGCCTGGCCCGGCGGTTTTGGAAATACAAAGGTTAGTGAATCTATATTTTTTCTCGACGTTGCTATCTGTGCCTTCTTGTAGAATTGCCTCTGTTAGTTTGATGCCCCCCTTTTTATTAAGAGCTAAATGATGTTTTAGGTCGGTGCCAACTATGGCCCAGCAATGACAGCCCAGGTCCGGGCGAGGCAAAACGATTGCAGCCAGACATTGTGGTTGTTTGGAGATAGCAACATCGTAACTGAAGCAGGTGCCAGCAACTTCTTCGTCGTTTGGAGACGGAGTGACAACAAGGCACTGGAGCTCGTAACGTGTTCTGATGAGACGGGCGTCATCTTGAACGGCATTACTCGACGAAGCGTTCTGGAGATCGCTAGGGAGAGACTTGGAAGTCAAGACGTGGCGAAGCAAGGATCTGGAGATCTTGAGGCGTTGAGCGTGATTGAAAGGCCGTTCTCGATTGATGAAGTTGTCAAAGCGCATCAGGAGGGCAGGCTTGTCGAAGCCTTCGTTTCTGGCACTGCTGTAAGTAGCCATATGGAGAACGCAACAAACAGTTCACGAGGGAGACTAATTGTTTCATTAGATGTTCATTTCACCCGTGTCCCAGATAATTCATGAGGATAAATTCATCGACTTTCCAACGACGCAGAACGAGGGTGGGCAAAAGGTCACTGTGTCCAAATACGCAAAGACGATTAAGCTTTGGTTGGAGGACACCATATATGGTCGAGAGGAGCATCCTTGGGCGTTTGTTGTTGATGAGACGCGAGATGATTTGGCAAAGAAGGCCAAGTTGATAGATTGACGTTTGAAAGGGATATGTGGTTACATCTAGATATCAGCAAGATACTATGAACTCTTCCAGCGACCATTGTCCATCGTACTTCGTTCTATTTTCATAGGTGAACTATCGGAACACAAACCTCCTTAAATCCTCTGGTGGAAGGCATTGTATCCGGGACTAGCCCTTTTTTTAACTCAACGAGATCCCATTTGGCCTGACGCTTTCGTGTCTCTTCCATTAATCCATACAGTTTAGTTCTCGTCCTGTCTTCCAAAATCTTCGTTCTGTTTCAAAAGGAAAACAACGGCTTAGCCCGAACAGTTACTTGGACCCATTTCCAACCGGGAACCGCAAATGATTGCCTAGCAGGGTAGTCGAGAACGACAGACCCACCAAGAAGCACGAGAGCCTCATCTTGACAGTATTTCGTTTAATAAGAATAGAATATGCAGCAAATCCAATGTTACATGGATAGCGTTTAGAACAGCACAATTTCAAGAACCAGGGTGTTGTATATAGATCGGAAAGCACACAATGTCGAAGAGGCACATAGTACTCGTCATCGGAAATCCAGACGGCCTGGTCGAGTCAGACCATTGGGAGAAGTTCGCTGCCCAGTATGAGGTGATTTTATACGACTTCAAATCGCAAAATGAGTTTCATGAGTCTCTGAGATCCGGATTCTGTTCTGGAATCTCGGGCATCGTTCGTCTTGGGCTGAGAACCCCTCCGGCCGCCGCGAGAGTTGGACAGGGCTGGACGAGGCTGGCTATGAAGTACTTCCCCTCTACTCTAAGAGTCATCGTTAACTTTGGGCATGGATTTGAGGAAGAGGATATTGAAGGTCTCAACAACCGGGGTGTCAGCTTTTACAACTCTTGTGGTGGCAGCGAGTCTACCGCCACTATCGGCACCTATCTCACCATTTCGGTCTTTCGCAACTTGAGTCGGTATGAGAGGATGTTGCGGTCAGGGCAGTTTCTTCCCGCCTTGAGAGAGTCTTTGAATTCTGCACTGGATGTGCAGGACAAGCATATCGGGATCATTGGAATGGGTGCTATCGGACAGGCTCTGGCGATGCAGGTGTCAGCACTCGGAATGCACATCCATGCTGTCGATAGGCCCAGTCTCCGTGCCATGATGGAAGATCCAAGCAAGTGGCCAGGCCAACCGGAGATTCAAGTGCATGACACGATAGACTTGCTTATCCCTCAGGTCGACTGTATTGTCCTGACATGCCCCTATTCAACCGAGACACACCACCTTCTTTCACGAGAACGCTTTCGGAACATGAAGAAAGGCGTGAGGATCGTCAACATCGCGCGTGGGAAATGCATCGACGAGGAGGCTCTGTGCGAAGCCATCGATCAGGGAATCGTCGGAGGGGTTGGTCTGGATGTCTATGAGAATGAGTAAATGCTCCCTTTTGACTTAGAGGCTATGGTAGGAACTGACTTCAGATACAGGCCACAAATTTCAGCAAAGCTGTTGGAGAAGCAAGACTTTGTCACGCTTCTTCCTCATGTTGGGGGACTGACACTTAATGCGATGGCAGTAAGTTGCCTCACACCGCCCACGACCGTGGCGTTTCTGACCTAGTGATTTTCTAGAAACATGCTCAGATCTGCCTCAACAAAATGGACAAGTACCTGTTTCAGGACGAACAAACATAATCTAGAACGTGTTTGATGAGAGCAATGTTTCATAGAATCAAAAGAGCACAAGTTTACTTTCTAGAATTGGGCAGAGCATAATGAAAGAACGGGTTCAATTCTGGGCAAAGGTTTTCAATTGTGTTCTGCGGGCCGTTGCTCAGCAAGGCGTCTGAAGAAAGCACTAAAAACAGTAGAGAGCAGGTAGACTAGCCATGAGAATAGCCAGAACTGGTCAGAAGTAGAATACACGCATCTGTCTCTTCGATATCTGCAGGCTTCCCGAACCAGGTGAAGATCATTTATTCAGATTGGCACAGGTCTTTGCATCAATAAAGCAGTTCCAAGATCGAAAGGGACATTCTAATCATCGGATGCCTCCTCGCTAGATGTTTTCTTCCCCAGGGGCTTCTCCTCCGATGGCTTCTCCTCGGAAAGCTTCTCCTCGGAAGGCTTCTCATCCGATGGATTCTCATCCGAAGAATCCTCATCCGGGGATTTCTCTACAAGTAATAGGTTAGGGGTACACTCGAAAGGGAAGGGAATATGGGGGCATTCTAACCCGATGAAGCAGACTTGTCATCAACTTCACCAGTTTCATCCTCAACCATCTCATCATCATCATCCTTGACATGCTGGATGATTTCGATCAGATAGCGCTCCGGGTCCATGAAACGTTGGGGACGTTCGAAATCAAAGCGGGGAAGCACGAAGTCCTGGGCCTTGGCAGCAGGCTGTTCAGCGGAATCCTCGTCCTCACTGTCGACGGGGGAAGTGGGCGAGTCTTTGGGTGGTGGTTTCATGATAGAGAGTTCAACTTCCTCCGGCTTCTTTGAGTCGGACATGTTGATCGTTTCTGGTGGGAGTAGTGATTTGTGGAAACTGGAACAGGGGATCTGTGGAAATGGAAGCAGGGGAGGTAAACAGTGCAGAGAGTGACTTGGGTGAAGCGTAAAGAAGGTGGGTCACAAGCAGGTGAGAAGGTGAGCTTTGGTTGAGGGCGGACAGTCCTCGGAAGGCGGAGAAAACACGTGCCGGGACATCTGGCATTTCCCTTCTGTGAGTCAGAGGGACTCTGGCCATCGTGCTTCGACATAATACCCGATGTACTGGCTCTCCCTGAGAGACCTCCTACGTCAGGGCCTTGGTAGCCTGATACTTGGGGCCTCTTAGGCCTTATGGCAGAGCAATGCAGGGAGCACTGGTGCTATATACGCTGAACATCAGTGACCCAATATATTATTCGGGGAGGATCATGGCTAAGCACCATCATTACATGAACTCAGAAGCCTCTGCGTCCAACGAGGCATCATAATTTGGCCCAATGTAGAAGACCAGCCCAATGCTTACGAAGTCAACAAACAGCTTAATAGGAATAAACCGTTTACCAGTTTCTTGAATACAATTTTGTCTTTATGTCTTATTATTATACTAAGACTTATCACTCAAATTCCACTCCCTTCATGGCAAAAAGAAAGACAGAGATTGGGTGCTCTTCGAATGTGCTAAGCTTGATGGCGGCTCGTCCCCCACACGATGATCTACAGATGTGAGATTAGGCAATGGATCCCTGCAAAACGGGTCTAGACTCTCGACTCTAGTGAAGCCCACCAGTCACATCGCGTGTGGCTGTGCTCAAACCTCAACTTCATCCTTGAACCACCATGTGCACGCATCAACATCCCACGACTTACCCACTGATGAGATGCACTTTTGGCATTGATTTTACTTATCTAAGTATTTCATCTGTGAATTTTTCTCGCACTTGACATCGACTTGTCCTAGTAGCCAGCCCGATCACGAGATCCAGCAACTTCCTAGCGCGTTGCAATTGAGGCTTTTGTCCGCTTCTTGACCGCCATCTACTGGCATCCCAGCTTCAAGTCAGTTGTCATTACCCTCTGGTTCGTTCGACTATATCTAAGTGTACCAAGCAACAGGATGAGATCAAAAGCGGGCAAGCACGATACCAGAACTGCCCAAGCGAGAGGCCCGTCCCCAGCTGCTCCCCTGCTACAGCGGAACCGGCGTGCCCTGTACAACGCATTGGATCCTAGAAAAGGCCTCATCCGACTGGTTCGCATCGGTCGTCGAGAGAATCACCCAGAGTCAGCCTTCTTCTCTCTGGAGGAGCACCCAATTGACAAAGCTCCGGAGTACATGGCCATCTCCTATATGTGGGGGCCTAATACCGAAGGAGGCGACATCGAGCTCGACGGGCACGCTGTCCATGTTCGCCAGAATCTCTACAATCTCATTCACAACGTTCTCACTCGCCGGGTGACTGGCCGCAAAGAGACGGAAAGCCCCAGAGGCCTGCCCCACGACGTCCATCACTTTTGGGTAGATACATTATGCATCAACCAGAATGATCTCGGAGAGCGCAGTCACCAAGTCCAAATGATGGGCCACATTTACCGTTCAGCCAGGAGTGTCTTCGTGTGGCTTGGACCTGGAGATGACGATAGCGATTATGTATTCGACACGCATGAGAGAGTGCGCAACCCAAAGTTTAAGCAAGACTACGAGCATGAGAGATTTGCAAAAGCCCTTCTTGCTCTGTTTCGTCGAGAGTACTGGTACCGAGCTTGGATAAGACAAGAAATACTCAACGCTCAGATGGACGACGTTACTATCAATTGTGGTGACCGGTCGTTGAAACTAGGACTCCTGGCCGATCTTTGCTCTGATGGGAGCTGGGGAGCAGAGCTAAATCGCGCACTAGGCGCAAGTCCTGTCGCGGATCTTGTTCATCGTGATGGCTGGGCAGAGAATCTCGACAGACTGCTTCAGCTTTATGGCGAAGGGAGATGCAGTGATATCAGGGATCGGGTTTACTCCCTCCTCTCCTTGGCCTCAGACCAGGAGGTTGTGTCCGAGGTATTGCGGGTCGATTATACGCAACCAACGTCATTTCTCTTCTGGCAACTGATTTGCTATTTTACTAAACTATATGATTGGGCGGGTGCCATTGCTGCAGCCAGAGGGATGAAGCAAATCCTAGAGGTCGATGATCAAATCACAAGGAGCATCAGAAATTGGACCAAAATACAGAAATGCATCGGAACCGTTCCATGTATCGACTGGATTCGAGAATTCCTCAGCTTGGCGAGGGAGGCACGGAGGATTCAGGCACGAAAAGGGGTAGGCCCCCAAGGCGGCCAGCCAAAAACTCCAGGCTCGGGTGTGGAAGACGAAGAGTATTTCACGCTATCCTCAATGACATATGAAAAGATGGTCTCAGAGAGTAAACTAAAGGACCCAGCGTGGTCTAACTGGAAACAGCACGAAAGAAAGCGGAATTTTCAACAACCATCAAGCCCACCTATACCCAATATAACGGCGCTCAATTCTCGGGCACAAGATATAACACAGCTACAGCCGGTTATCCACAACACTTCTCCGGCATGGCTCCGTCTGATTCGGAAGAAGTTGACCAAAAATGACTGGTTTGACTCGCTGGATTGGTTCAACTTCACCCTAGAAGCCATCGATCTTGCTTCTCGAGATTTCATTGAGAGGTCTGCAAGGTGGAAGAAACTGCTTGAATGGTTGGAATCCATCATCAACACCCTCAGATTGAGGATTGAACAGATGAGGAAGAATTGAGATGTCAATCGTCAACAACGTCTATTCCACCATGGCAATTGGTCCTCGAGCTCGAACTGAGCAACATTTCGACTTCTTGATCACATCACAAGACCACCAATCAGGCCTTGCTCTTTCCCTGATTTATTAGACTCGATATTTAATACGGTCGAATTTCTTCGGCTATGAATCAATAACTTCTTCTGCTGGGGATCGTTGCCCAGATCTCACGTAAGCGGGGCAACACGACTCAGGGGGTTACGCCCGGCTTGTTACCAATTCACTGATCAGGAATGTCGCTAGAGCATGATTTTAGCGACATGATTGGCAGCTTACAGTCAATGGAGATCATTGAATGTGACGAAAGCACGTGATAAGGGGCATTCAAATATATCCATGTCCTTCTCAAGGAAACTCGGGCACCCCAACAACCCAGTCATCTTTGCACTTCAAGATACCAAGTCATTTGAGAAGTCAGCATGAATTGGCTATGGTCTCGTCTCAATCCGCGGTCGAAGTGGCATGAAGAAAAAAGCGTGCGTCGAGCCAGGACACAACAGCGCAAGAAGCATCAACTCCAGCAAGAGCAAGAGGAATTGGACCGGCAGCAGGTGCCAACTTGGCCCCATGATCAAGAAACGATAGAAATCGGTCCGCCCTTGCAGCTAAATGGCTCCTTCTTTTCTTTGGCCTCTGAGATCCGCCATCTCATCCTACGGGAAGCCTTCGGTGACCAGACAGTTCACCTGGATCTGGATTTTCGGCATCCGTTTAAGACCCTATCCTCCAACAAAGAAGAGTTGGAGCTGAAACGAATCCAATACCCTAATTTCATGCATGCAAATATTTCCGCCAATATTCTTGGACCGCCATACGACCGATCATTACCCAAAAGTTGGATGTGGTTCAGCTGCGTATGCCATCGATGTCACCCGAGCGATCAGTTGTCTTATGGAAGAAAAGCAAACGCTTCTACTCCGGATGCATGTGAACCACGGTGTGACAATTGCCTCCGAGCCGGGGGTCTCTGCAGAGAATACCCAGGCGAATGGCCATCTAAGTGCTTCATCGGTATCTCAGGCTGGCTCCTGACTTGCAGACAGGCGTAAGTAGCAACTGCTAATCTTCTCTCCGGATGCCAGCTTCATACTAAGATTCTCTCCCGCCTAGATATCGCGAAGGAATCGACGTCCTTTACGGTATGAACACAATTCACATCCAGTCGCCATCCCTAATCTGTGGCATCGAGGATTTTCTCTCACCTAACATTCTGTCCATGATGACTTCACTGGAGCTCGTCTGGAGCCTGGAGGATATCGGACCTGACGAAGCATTTATTCGGCGTTCTTTATCAAATGCTTCTACCAGTGGTGCCCCCCAGCAATCTGATGTCATCTTTCCGTCACTTCGACATCTCCGAATTGGCTTTAAACCTCTGCTATGGTCCGACAAAGCCTTTGGCGGCCGGATAGGATGGGGTGCCACCGATGACGAGAGGAAGGAGGCAGAGGAAAGAATCCACGATTACTTCCTCCCAAGACTGGACCAACTACTGGAGAGAATTGCGCCACCCGCTGCGGAAGTCGTTGTTTCCTGGGATAGCTGGCTCTGGTACTCGAGGACTGATCTCAAGCTCCTCGAAGTCCAAGGCAGGGAAAAGACGCAGATGCACCAACCAGAGATTGGAGGTCTGGCGTGCTGGAGAGTTATTCCTATGCTGAGTGGAACGAAGTCAACTCCGGCGGAAGAGAGTGTACCGGGGAGGTCGAAGAGGAATGGATACTGGATACATGTTGCTGATGCACAGCTGAGTAACCGTTACCGTAAGGCAAATTCCCATCCCAAGACTGTGATCGACTGTTCCCTTACTAACTGTACCAGACAATTTCAAAGATTGGCACCGGCATGAGCTATATGGCTTGATAGCATAGCCTGACTTTCGTTAGGTGTACAAGGGGGAGGAATGAAAAGAGAGTCACTCAATGTTGGATGTTCTGCAACTTGGGCGTTTGTGTTGGAATAAAATAATCAAAAGTCCCACAAACTTCAATCTTTCCCATTCTCTATCAATTTATATAATCTTATTGGACTCGAATGGTTTTCTTGGTCTTATCGGTATCGTGATATCGCAGCATGTGGCCTAGCAGCCCAATGTAGCTATGATTGCAGCTACGATGTTAATGTCGGAATTATCCAATCTCTAAGGGCTAATATGTACATTTGTCCATGAATTGAAACTTGATATCGAAACTGCTTGCCGATAGCTCCCAAGAAACTGGTATAGGTATACACTGATACGCTTCACTGGCGGATGAGATAGGGTAGTGCGGAAACGCTCCGCGGTACGTACCTACCAAGCAAAGACCCACTCTTCGGACATAACGCTTACACGCTCCGCCGCCAATCTTGTTGCATCATAAAGTCCATCCATCCATCATCCTTACCAACGCTTCCACACAGCGACACGACAAGGATCCAGTAGAAATGGATGCGCCGCTACCGCAACACCCCCCTAGTCGACGCCGCAAGGTTCGAAAAGGCACCTTCTCCTGCTGGGAGTGCAAGAGACGGAAGCGCCGTTGCGAATTCAAGCCGGGGTCATCTTCCGCCTGTGTGTCTTGCCAGCACCGAGGCCTGCCATGCCTGAGCCAGGAAGAGTATGAACCCCATGCCGGGCCGGAGCAGGTGTCGGAGCGTATCTGCCATGTCGAAAAGCTAGTCGGCGTGCTTCTCCAGCAAAGAGGACAGGAGCACGGCAATATTGGATGTGCGAGCGCTCTCACCATTCCTCCTTCGCCTTCGGGATCCTCGCTAAACATCACGACCTATCTCTATTCGGTTCTGCCCTCCCCTTCAGATACAACCTCGATCCTATCACACGGAAACTCTTTCCGCATGCCTCGATGGTCTGGATGGGCTCGGTCAGCCCCGCTGCTAGAACCTCCACCCCTCGAAGCACAACCTATCTGGTACGGCCGCAGGCTGATGCAACTTGCCCTCCGTCTGCAAGACTCCGGCGTCCCCGGATGGGATGCTTCCAAGTACGCACAGATAGTGGCTCACTGTGTCTCCTCCATTGACGCATTGGTATCTTCCACCGACGGAATCGAAACTCTGATGCTCGAGGCCATGTACTACGTTAACGATGGGAAACTGCAAGAAGCGTGGCTCCGGTGCCGGCGAGCCATGTCGATAGCCCAGCTTCTCGGTCTCGATCGTGCAGGATGGACTGACAACGCTATTCTTCGCCGTCTTGTATTTGGCGATCGCGTCATGTCTCTAGAACTAGGTGTTGCACATTTTGGGATTATGAATTATGGATCGCTTGACAGTGCCGATCCGATCACCAGGCTGGAAAGGATCCATGTCATAACTGCTACTCAAATTATTGAACGAAACCTGCGCATGATGGACAGAAGTCCAGAATCGATACAGGCTGAGACGCTGGGTATTGACCAACTGATGAAGAAGGCGATGAAGGATCTTCCGCCAGGCTGGTGGTCAGCGTCGACGAAGAAATCACTATCGGTCCTCGAGGAGGAGGAGGCAATGGAAGAAACTATGAAGTTGATCACTCAGGTAAATCACTACTGGCTGCTCACGCAACTCCATCAACCACCTGTCATACTAGATCTCTGCTGCCCTGTAAATTTTGGGACCAACTCGTACTCAAGAACGGTTTTGGCCTCCTCATGTCGTCAGGTCCTCTCGCGCTTCCTACTCATACGGCAATATCACTGTGGTGGACTATACCGCGGCGCTGATTCCAAGGCTGTGTCGGCTTCCATCGGGCTTCTCATGGCACATATCGATGGTCGTCGGGATAGCACTGATAATGCGTTGGAGCATCTACGACCACAAGACATGGATCTTATACGAGATTCACTTGATCTGTTCGAAGCCCTCTCAAGACCAAAATCAGAACGATCGGCTGTTCACAGTTTGCTCGCCATTGAATCAAATGCAGCCTGTGGTACCAATTATATGTTCTCTACGACGACTGAAGATGCCCTGCGATTGACGTTGCCTTACTTCGGCACCATGAGTCTTATACCGATATCATTTGAGGTTGCAGATCTGGAAACTGAATCTTTAGCTCTCTGAAGATTATCTGTATTCCAGTCTAATTCCTTTTAACTAGAAGGTCTAGTGTGTCTACTCAGAGTCGAAGATTTTTTCGGGTATTTACTTCGATAGACTGGGCCTTGATGACACGTTTACTAGGAACATTGGCTTTACTAGTATTCGACCGGAAGCAATCTTTGATCTAATATTTCGGATTTGTCACCAGTAAATATTTGGACACTAAAACTATCTATCATGGTATGAGCTCCAATTGCCAGGATGAGCCCTATTTACTGCAATGGAGCACTGTCACCAAAGGCATGACCCAACAGCTCCTGAACCCTCTGCCCCGCAAAGTTACTTGCCAGCTCTCGAAGCTTTTGATTCTGCTCACTGGAAAGAGAAATTGACATGCTCGCTGTATTCTCTCTAAGGCGGTGGATCTTGGTCGTCCCAGGAATGGGGAAAATATCGTCGCCCTGCGCCAGAAGCCAAGCCAGAGCCAGTTGGCTGTTGGTCGCGCCGACGTCTTTGGCAATCTCCGAGATCTTCTCGACAATACCCACATTGTTGGACAGATTTTCTTCGCTGAGCGCAGGGACGAAGCCACGCAAATCTCCAGGCTTTGAGATATCCTCACGAGAGCGGATGGCCCCAGCGAGCAGTCCCGAGTTGAGCGGGCCGTACGCCACCACCGCCACGCCGAGCTCGCGAGCTGTCTCCAGAAGAGGGGTCTGAGGCGATTCGATAGCCCTGCAAAAGAGGCTGTACTCGAGCTGAATGCAAGAAACGGGGTGGACGGCATGACCTCGGCGGAGGCTGGCTGCGCTGCACTCGCTGAGGCCAATGTGCTTGATCTTGCCCTGATTCTTCAGCTCAACGAGAACCTCCATTGTCTTCTCGATCGGCGTCACCTTGTCGAGGCGGTGGATGTAGTAGATGTCGACATATGACACGCCGAGTCTCGAAAGGGATTTCTCGATGGCCTCACGGCAGTACTCCGGCGAAGAGTCAACGGTGAACTTGGAACGTCCCCCTTCCCCAGGACGGATGGCGAACTTGGTGGCAAGGGTGATGTCCTTGCGCTTCTCGGGGTTTGCGCGGAACCACTTGCCCAGGACGTCTTCAGCGTCGGCATACTCGTCCGCTATGCCATGGTCAGGAGGAGTCACAACAAGGAAAAAGAGGGTTGTGTATGGATTGAGAGGGGCTCACCAGTGTCCCAGAACCTTTCGCCAATGTTGTAGGCTTCATCCAGAAGAGCCAAGCGCTCCTCGTCAGAGAGTGCGACGCCGTATGCGCCACCTCCTAGCGGGACGCATCCGAGGCCGATACGAGGAACTAGGGGACCGTTCTTTCCAAGTGGTCGAAGCTCAACTCCAGATTTGGCAGACATGATGGATGAGGTAAATGTAAAAAAGTAGTTGTCGTTGTTGTATAAGCTGTTTAGTATGCTTCGTTATCTTGATGAGAAGGACGGACATTCTGGAAAGGGAGTAAGTTAATTTTTATACTTCGTGGTACGGACTTTAGCGGTAACCTGTTTAATTACGTTGATGAACATGATTCAAGGCTTGCGGCGGAATTGAATAGGCATCACTTGCCATCGCAGGCTCCAAATGGTTGATGGTGTTGTCGTCGACGCTCTTCGCCCGCAAACTCCACCGTTGGTCCGATCGGCTCCACTTTATTCGGCCGCCGTTTCTCCCCGCGAATATGGCTGATCTCCCTGGGCGTTCATATAGTTGTAACGGCGATTAGACCCAAGAATGGAACTTTAATGCTCCCCGGAGCCCCTCGGCTAGCCGAAGATGCTATCGTTATTCTGCATGGCATGGCATGGGTGAATCCTCCCACTCCTATACGTGGCTTCTGGGCTAGCCCCTGGATTCGCCCGCACTTGAAAAGATGGCCAACAGCACCTCGATATATGGTTTCAGAAAGCTGGTATACAGAGCAAATGGTAGGCTTGGAGCCAGAAGTTTATCATTGTTAGTAGCCGCAAAGCGACCAAGACTGGACGGCGAATTAGTTATGAGCTAGCGCTAGGTCAAGCGTTCGGTGGAACGAAGAGAAAGGTGTTACTCTACTAAGACGCTGTGAGCGTGGGCAATTGGCTGTGTTAACATAAGTGGAAAGACGCGACCTGGTGTACTTTCATAGGATTGTGTATTTGTAGAGATGGATGTGGGTTCGACACCTAAGCCTGGAGTCACAAGATGAGAACGAAGTGTACCACTGACCTCACTTGGAATGTAAAGGGATAGATAGAATAGGCATCCAATGCTTATGTTTTTTAAATTCGTCCCGAACTATGTCAAATCCAAAATATTCGCACACGTACATCGTAATAAAATCTAACATAAAATGACTATTCCCATCCCAATGGCTTGAATTGCCTCTTGACGAACAGTATGTGAGATAAAAGGACCTCTTCTGTGGGGTTACAATAGACACAAGGCAGGTAGCTTCATGGTATAGTCTGGCGCAGCAGGAAGGGGCCGGCTAAGTTAAGAGGGTTTCAACAGTAGAGTTTCGGTGATTCCGAGCCACGACATGAAACTACTGTTTGTATGCAGGAGGCAAGAAGCCAGGAGGAGGGGGACCCGCAGGCGGAGCCCAGGTCTGCGGCTGCTGACCCTCCTGATGGTTCTGATCTCTGTACGCAGGGTGAATGCTGGACTGCGCCGGCTGGTAGCTCTGCTCGTCGTCCGAGTCGTTCATGAGCTTCTCCTCGGGCGAGGGGTTCTTCTCCTCAAACTCCCTCTGCTGGGCGCGCTGCTTCTTGAGGGCGGACCGCTTCTTGAGCCTTGGCACGACGAAGAAGACGATAAAGCAGATAAGGGCGACGGCGACGACGACGGAGACGACGACGATGATGATCTGGGTGGTGGTGAGCTTCACGCCGCCGCGATTCTTGGGCTTGGAGACGTTGACGTTGACGGTGTTGCCCTTGCCCTTGGACTTGCTGCTGCTGTTGTGGTTCGTGTCCGTCTTGGACTTTGTCTTCTTGTTCTTGTCCGTGCCCTTGACGTGCGTCTTCTCGCCGGTGGACTTGCTCTTCGTCTTCGTCTTCGTTTCCCGGATGACCAGCGAGATGAGGTCATCTTCGCCGGTGAGGAAGGGGAGGGCGGCACCGTAGGCATATGGGAGAGCCCAGAGGAGCATCAGCAGATGCGAGAGGAAGTAGCTGCGGGACGACGCCATCTTCGGTGACGGATCTGGTACCGGTGAGTGTCTCGTCGGTGTCGGCAGGGTTTGATTGATGCCCACTTGGCGAATGGGAGGAATGAGCAGTTTGATCACGGCCTGACGAGACGGAGTCAGAGGCAAGCCACAAGTTGGGGATGGGAGGGAAAGCTAGGGATACTTATTGAACGCCGCCTGACAAACTAGTTGCTGATTAGCCTCCATGCTGACAGCCAGAGGAAGAAAAGCTTTGAGCAGGGCCGCTGGGGCTGTGTGGAGCAGACAATGGCTTCTTCCAGGTTGTTTGCAGGCGATGAGTTGGTCAGCCTTGGGGCTTGGCCTGGGATCCATCCAGACAGCGGCTTTAGGTCGCAGCTTCCTTGACCTTTGACCTAAAGCCGCCGTTTCAATGCCAGCGGTGGGGGTGCAGTGTGTGTTGGCTGGCAGGTTGGGTTCCTCATCGGGTGAGATTTGTCGAGCCAGGGGGGCTCCCGGAAGCTCATTTCAGCTGGCCCGTGGACTCCCACACCGGAACAGCACCTCATGCTTACTGGAGCAGTAGGGCTGCTTAATTGCTTAGCGCAGTGGGCTGAATGACTAGGAGGAACACCATCCTGGTTCGGTGCTGTGGGAGGCAGGGGAGGTTGGACTGGCCCCCATTTCTGGGCTGATTGGCGGCCAATTGGGGCGCAGGCTCAGTGCTGGTTGACTATTGCCCTGTAGCGGTAAAAATAGATCGACAGGCCTTTCAATCGTGCTGTCTCTGCCCAGTGCTTGCTTCGATCCAGCCCTAGGGCTAGGTAGGTAGGCATGATGAAGATAGGTACCTTTCGCCAGATCTAAGCCTACCTACGTAGCAGGATCAAATTATCATGATTTCAAGTCTAAAGGGCAAAGTAAAGTAAAGTCCAATTGCACCATTTCCGTGTTCAAATCCGCCACTTCAATGGGACTCACCATGGGTAGTGCTGACGGTCGTTGGGCCTGCTGGTGTCAGCAGTGATACCTGATGCAGCTCACCTGCAAGGTCTACCGTGGATCAGCGATGCCCCTGATCCAAAGCTGATTCAATGCTTTCACCGACTCAGTGAAGACGGTGGAATGGAGATGACAAGAGTCGTATTCCGAACCAGAGCACACTGCACACTGCGAGACAGCAACTATCCAAGACTAATTAATGGCAGAACCGCGTCCAGCTATTCTTGGGCCGCTTGGACCCCTTCTCATCTCGACTGATCAGCGTAGAGACGATCGTTGGCTCCAGGGGGCTGTGCTGGATGGCTCTGTCCAGCCCCGCTCCTCTGGCCCTACCATCAGCCATTGGAGAGTTGCAATCTAAAGTCTAACAAGGTTAAAATTCTAGCTTGACGTCCATGGATGGGTCCCTCGGTTTTTGCGAGATGATGCTAGAAATAGCCCTAGGCCTAGCGGCCATTGGCTTCGTGTTATTAGTCAGTGACAAGCGGATTTATCGTCAACTACGAGGTAAGCCGAAATAACGCCAAAGGCCAACCTACCCTATACCTAGAATTTTGTTATCATTACATTCTTGGTCTTGGACACTACGATATATCACAACCGAACGGACATATTTGTAGTATGAAACCTTTGAATTTGAGTGGAGATACGCCGATCCATGACTGCCTTATTGGCTCCTGTTTCCCTTTGGCCCTACCCATAGGCCCTGAATGATCGCACTTAGCTGTTCTACATGATCTTCGCTCTGAAATTGAGCAGACTTCTATTGAACCCTCCGTTCTTCTCAACGCAGCTAGCGAGTGTTACCACCCTCCAGTCTCCCCGTTTCTAAATGCTTTCGTCATCGTCTGTTCCAAACCATTCCATGTAGTACCATGGAAGAGCAATGGCCATCAAGAACACACCAATGCACTCCAAGCCGCTGACGATTGCCGGCGTCATCGCGAGAGGCGTTGCCCATTTCCAGGACGGTATAGGGTGCATCGGACCCAGGATGTGACGCAGAAAATAAAACGAGTTGCCAAACAGGAAGATGCCGTAGATTAACCCCTAGGTAGTCTCGAAGACAAGCAAGTTCTGATCGCCCGCAACGCCGAAAAGACTAGGGATGATCTGAAGGCGGCGCCCATGGGCATCTTGGAACCTGGATGCGATTCTTCTCGGCAGATGCCGGAGCCTGTTCTCCGCTTCCTCAAGAATATACTCATCGAGATGGAATCTGTTGGCCTGTGCAAAGATTGCACGAGCATTGAGCGTGTTTCTTGAACGGGCGAGGAGGCGCATCTTCTTGAGAAGCTGCTGCTTCCACTGCTGGACCATCAGATAGGGCTCGACAGCTTCGGGGCTGAGGCTGACGTGGACCGGGGCGGTCAGCAAGTTGCCGACCATCTGGGCGGCCAACTCGTGGACTCCAACAGGAGCGAACAGCTTGACGAGATCCTGAGACTGGACCTTGTTTATCTCAGCGGCCAGGTGGACTTGTACCTTTTTGAGCTTCTCCAGGGCTTTGACACCGGACTTGTCCATCACGCCGACCAGATGAACGGGACGCAAGCCGAGTTCTAGATTGTCCCTTTCAACCTCATACACGGAAACGTGATAGAATTTGGCTGTCCCGTCGAGGGCGTGGGAGAGCGAAAACATCGAGGACACGGCCTGCACAAATGATTTGCCAAGAGGAGGATTAATCACGTCAAGAATCTTCCATGATGGGTGGTTAACCAAGTCAGCGTAGGCGGCCAAAGACCGGATTTCTCCGGCCTCATGAGCGAGTTTGGCTGTCAGATCTCGCCCCTGTCGGACAATCCGACCGTTCCATTCAGTTTGCGCCTTTTCCGCAGCAGTCAGGAGCTCGGTGACATGGCGGTCAATCATATCACCGGGAGGAAGTTCCGTGTAATGGCACGCTCGGAGGTGAGCGAACACATCTGCGAGATTCGTGTAGATTGTCTTATTGAGACAATCTTGGCAAAGGTATTTGCTGCGGGTCCTGGACCCCAATGAGTTGGCAGATTCTGTTCTGTATAGAATCATATAGTTTGCATGGGATCGGGTCATCGTCAGAAACTCGGGGGCCTAAACCGAGTGGTTAGCATACTAGCTTGAACAAAATTGGTCGATCATTGGGATGACGGGTTGTCATTCTTACCATGAACCCTTTGTAAAGAGCATTAAACAGTTTGTGTAGACCCGAAGTCGAACAGTTGTTGGGAATAAACGCCTCGAGGAAGCGGGTCGCCGCCTTGCAGAAGTCATAATAGTCGAGAAGCAGCGTCTGATCTCGGAATCTTCCGTCGTTATGACCGTTGACATTTGAGAGCCGATCCATGAGTCTGTCTATTTCTCGTTTGAACATGTCCAAGCTGCATCTGGTGCTGCCGGTGGCGACACCCAAGACGTCCTCTTGACGATCGAGTAGGCCATTGAAGGAGAGCCAGTCGAAATATTTGTAAGCATATTCAATCCGGCCATTGATGCCAATTCGCGTGTCATCTCTGTTCTCATCGGTTAAGCCCCAGGTGAAAATGTGAGGAGAGGCTGCGTCTAGTTCCAAAGAGTCAAACTCTGAATCTGCTGAACGTGGTCAATAATCAGGTCTTTAGGGCCGCCAAAGGTCAAAAGGGAAGCTTACCTCCGTCTGTATCATCTGAGATGCTGCTAGCAACCTGAGCGAAGTCGACATCTTCAAAAGACGACCCAATACTCTGCGGGGCATGCTCATTTAGAGCATGTTGGCGAACCCATTTTGCGGTATGCTCTGAGACTTGGTGGCCCACTAGCTCTGGCCTGCCATAGCTGTTGTAAATTCCCATGGGATCTGGCTTGCTGTCATCGGACCCTGGTGGCTTTTGCTCTAGCTTCACTTGAACAACAGGAGGATACCCTGCATGCAACAGGTGAGACCAGGCGACTGATGTCATTGGGCCTCCGTTCCTGCGCAAGAAGTTGAATTCCTCAGGCTCTTCCGCGGCGATGGCGCAATCATCCGGATCAGTGCGAGGTTTCATTTGCTCCAGCTGATATTGCAAAGACGCTTCCATGGTCTATGATGTACCAGTTAGTGTTGAACATTGACTTTGCCAGCTTCTCTACTTACCAAAAGGGACGAGCACTCTGCGAGGGGGATCTCGAATTGGAGTCCGTTCTGCTCAGTGACATGGACCATGCGCTGATTGCGGGTGTTGGCCGCGAACATCTTGGTTTCGATATTGTTCATCGCCGAATCTTGGCAAGGCTTCCCGCCATAAGTAAGGATTTTGTCTGCATCTGGTGTTAGCGTTTCTCAGTCGACGACATGTATGAAGAGTGGGTACATACTATCGTTAACGATCAGCATCCATGCCTGATCAACCCAAAGATCCTCCTTCGTAAAGGACGCTTCATTTTCAACTGAACTATAAGAGGGATCAAGAAGGGTTTTATCGAGTCGGCGAGGAACGCAGACCCCTCTGCGATCTGAGATGTTAGAAGATTCCTGGCCGGAACCATTTCGGATGTAAGGGATCGAAATGAACGTCGCAGAGGCGACGATTGTTCCATGGTGATCAACGTCACAACGAAGTAGGGTTCCTGGTTGTATATACCAGATGCCGTTGCCTTCGTCAGCGGCATTCTCCGCTGACCGGAGAACTGTGCTGATAGCTAATTTCAGGTTGACTTCAAGCTGGGAATGTATCAGATTGCCTTCCGTTAGAGCGATAACCTAAACCTCGAGTTAGTTTACGAAGTGAAGAAGCAGCGGTGATTGCTTACTCTGAACTCCTGAAAGTCCATCACATCGCTGACGACATTGCTTAACAATTTAGTTAGCTTAGGCACAGCCACAAAAAGTGATGTATCAGGAAAGCAAAACAGGCAAGCTTACAGATGTCGAATCTTCTCATCATTTCCTGGAAGAAGATTTACGGGAGGAGGATTCTTGGGAGAGGAAGAATCGTGCAAGATCAGCTCGAGGGCAACTTTTCCACCACCCACCACGTCTTGGTGGAGGCGGACTGACGTGTAGTGACGACGAGGCACTGGGGGAGGAGCAGGTTTCAAACATGGGGTAAGAGGAGTAAGCGCCAGTTCATCCGTCTGCGTCTTAGGATGCGTCTCAGGGCTCTTCACCACGATGACTCCAACTTCTGCTTCACTGCGGGAAGCCATTGGGAATGGCGGAGCAGGAGATTTGGTTTTAAGTTTATCTTTGGATCCTAAGGACCCGCGTTGACGCAGATGAATGTTAGTGTTGCTCGAACTATTATTCAAACGGACATGCTCCGTTTCGTGCTTTAGAGTTGACTTACCCTTGATAAGGTCCAATAAGCCAATGTTTTTGGCTCGAATCTCCCATCGTTTAGCTCTCATGGCGTTGAGTGCCCGGGAGGCATGAGCAAGCTGCGGACCTTCCTCGGAAGATAAAGCCATGATGATGGCTTTGTTCAGCCTGATAATGGTGGCCAGCCAGGGGATAGAACTTGCGGGATGAAGGAGCGAGAGGTTGCAAGTTTTTGGAGGGTGAAGGAGTTCTCACCTGGGTTTCGTTGGGGGGGAGGAGGGCCTAGTGGCAGGAAACAATAACACGAGACCGGACGAGTCACGTGTCTGCAGCCCCCATCAGATTCATGGGCTGCGCACCGCCGTGGCAGAGGCCTTCAGAATAGATGATAGCGCTCAGGTGCCTGGTGGGCAGCTGCCTTCAGTGCAGGAGACTCCCCGTTTTGGGGATTGGGCACTCTAAGGGGCCCCCTATTCAACATTACTTGTAGGGTGTGCAAGGCCATGCCTCCGACTTGAAGCCCTATCCCACTTGGGCATTTTCTTATCTGATTAGATTTCACTCCCATCTACCTCTCGTCTCCAGTATCTACAAATGTAAAGAATCAATGCCCAAGTATCAGACTATCACTGCTCACGTTCTGACCAGTCCATCACCATTTCATACTCTGTCCCCCGCTGTGATTCGTCGCCGTGATCCTCCTCCTTCAGTAACTCCCACGTATTCTCGCTAGTTTTAGTCAGAGCCACAATGTCACTATCCGCCCTCTTCTTTAGCTCCATGTTACTATCTTCACTGGCAAGTGATTCGGACCCTGGGTTGAGATACAGTGCTGACAGCAGTGAGTTCTTCCACAGAGGCTCGAGATTCCTACGGACGACCGAACGAACGACCGAGTACATCAGAAAGGCGAACGTGACCAGCAGAATCAAGGCAGGACCAAGAAGCCAGCGCCACAAGAACTCAGTACAGACGGCGGTCTGTATCACCTCCCCATGTATATAACCGCCAGGCTCGGCCACAAGGTTGAACTCGTCGACCAAGAAGTTCCGTTGTACCATGATCTCTCGCATACGATTCGTTAGAGCAGTGCAAGCTCTAGCTGTGGCGCTGACAGTGGAGGCGAATGACATGCTGCCACCATTCAGTAGGCCCGTCAGACTCCAGGGGCCGCAGAAGTTGTTCTCCCATCTCTGCCGTATACTTTCTACAGGTACACTTCCTCGGTAGCTGTAGCTGCTGTCGAGGACTGCCAATGTATTCTGGAGTGCTGGTCTTCCGAGTGATGAGGTCATGACGGTACAGTTTGCGCTTGCGAGTATATCACGTTGTTCAGTCCCAGAGCCCTTCAACTGGACCTTGAAAGACTCGTTGTCGTAGCCTATCGTTTTAGCTCTTGTAAGGCCCAAGACCTCATCCCCTACCTTACATGTAGGCTTCCAGAATGAGACATCCCTATAGAGTTCAAGAGATGGCTCTGTCAAGAAACCCGGGCTCTCGGCGACGAGCATCTCGGACAGCGTGCCCTGCACTACTTCTACCTTGTGGTGCCTCATACACCAGTAAAACGAACATGTAGGTGCGAAGACATTAGCAATTACGTTAAGCTGCCCTGAAATATCGAAAAGAATATTGGTGGCGGAGGAAGGAACGCATTTGCTGATGCGGCTTGTGTCGTTTTTGTACTCGCAGCCAGGTGATGTTGCGGCAAGGAACGTGTGGTTATCGACGGGGGCATTCAAGATACAGAGAAAGTACTGGTCAAAGTCATCCCGGGCCCATTCGATGCTATACTGCTTCTTGGAGAAAAAGTTGGTCCGGGCGGTGCTGCTGTCCGTGAAGTTGGCTACCTCTGGAATTCCGACGATGGTGGTCTCGTTGACCCTCCAGTTTCGGATGTAACGTGCTGCATCGATACACTTTGAGCAGATACTCGTGGTGGAAAGGGATACGTCCCCGATGAGGCTTGGAAAAGAACAGTTGCCAGTCGTGCAACCCTCCAGGAGCGTCGATGGGTTCACGTCAATCGCACCTATGGATGCACCAATGACGAGACTGGTGAGACCGGGTTCAGTGATGTAGTCTCCAGCGCTAAGGCGAGTGGTTGGAACCCCTGATTAGGTGTAAGGGAGTTTTGCTTGGGCATTGGGAATAGGCTTGTCGCAGAGTCTGGTCCCCACGGCTTGTTGAGAAAAGGGGCCAGTTCCAATGGAGAGCAGCACGAGGAGGCATCTGATGTAGGAGTACGAACTGCGTGATTGTGTCAGTCCAGCTTGGCTAGTGATAATTGAGACTATGTATCACTTACAACCATGCTCGCAGCCTGGCAGGGAGCAGTATAGAACCCCAAAGCCCTCTGCTAGCTTGATCGATGTGGCTCAGATGGCGAATAGGGCGAGGTGTAAGTTGCCGAATCCATTTATGCTGGTTGATAACTATATACCCGTTGTTAGAAATCATCGATGGCCTGTTGAGGGTTCTCTGAGCTCTCACCCTTTTCCAGTATTCCAAGGATCATCGCCCTGAGAACCCCGAAAGAGTGGCAACAAGGGCATTGAGACTCATCCCGAATAGCGACCAATACTCGGTGTTTTGGCTATGGTTGCGCCGGAGAACTCCAAATATTGCTCCTAGAGTCCACATGGCACGAGCAGGACGATGAATTGCATCCGCCATTCCCCAATACCGTCGATACCCCCGTGGGGCCTACTTCGGCCGTCTTTGGCATTTTCTTCGTATCGTTGCTAGTGCTATCGTGGTTATCGGAACATCTTGCGAGAAAGGACGTGGAAAATTTGGGCGGGAGGACGGACGGGAGGTCAAGATAAAGATCTGTCGTACGATGGGGCAGCGTGGAGAATCATGTTGTCGGTGCATGGACTGATGCCTGGCTCAGCTGTGCAGAGGGAGGTTTGTCTCTCGCTTTAGAATGGCAGAGGTTCTAAATTTATCTTCCACTCCGCACCGCATGCCACCTACCTACCCTATGCGTGGCTATCTGTCTTCAAGTTGGAGAAGCGCGAGGTCATTCAAGCAATTGCTTACAAGTGAGCAATAAGTGACACATTCCCGAATACAAATTAATTGTTGCCTCTAGACTATATAGGATGTGCTCATGTAGAAGGAGGTGGAGGATATCGAGACATCGGTGGCCGTGACTGAGTTGGCGAAGAACCAGGATACAATGAGTTGGAGTTGAAGTGCTAGCTCAAGGCTTAGATGAATCAAACGATTAAGGAGATCCATGGACGACTGATAACTAACTCTCTAATATGCGGTTATACTATATGAAACTCTATCAACTTGTAATCACCGCCAAACACTTCCCCATTCATGAACCCATGCAGGTAGGCTTCGCCTCGAAACTCGTATGTCTTTGCCTGACCTGGCACTTTCCTTGCCGCATTCGACACCTCCCTGAGGATATATGCTGTCCTTCCGCCTTCAAACAGCACCACGGCGTCTCCCCTCCCTGTTCCCCAAGGACCCCATCCTGCGTACCCATTCTTCGTGGTGAATACCCGACGTCCTCCTGCCGGCCATGAAACACCTTGGTGGTAGGCCATGGCCATGGCGGCTTCCTGATTCTGGGAGCCTTCTTCGGGGACTCTCGAGCTTTCGAATGGAAAGGTGGCAAACCGACTCCGCCACATGGGATATGCCTTCACAAGGTCGAGCTCCTCCTCTGCGCCTTCCTGAGCTGTCTCGTCATACAGACGTCGGGGTACTTGAATCTTTGCGTCAAGTGCCATTATTCTGGCGAGGACAGAGCGAATGTCTTCTCCTGTAGGATACGTCTTGAGATTCAGGATGAGGAGCTCGCAGAAGCGCATGCGTTTCGTTTGAAAGGTATGCAATAGGGGTTGTGCCGCCTCCAAAGGCTTGTCAGAGAGGCTGTTGCGATCAGGCCTGTAGATTCGATCACTTGCACCCAAGCGGTGGCCTACGGCGCTGACGAAGTCTAGGATGACGCCTTTTGTGACGAGACTCCTGCCATCAGAACCAAATCGAAAAGAAGGAGAGGTTTTCCCATGTGCCTGGAATGAGTGGGAAAACCGCTGGTCGAGCGTTAGGAACGGAGCTGCGTAGCGTTGAACAGCCCAATTCGGCACCCATGAGGGCATGTCGGTCCCCTCTTTCCAATTCGTGTCTTCAACATGGCTCAAGATATCTAGTGAGTCCTTCATAACCGACTTGGCAACGTCGAGATATAGTTGCGAGTACGGAATCTTGTAATCAATTTCCACCTCATGCGAGGTTGCCAGGCCTAGCAATCCGTACACTTTGTCGTGAGGATCTGTGGCCAACGACCGTCGAAACAATCCTAACAACTCGAGAAGGGGAAGTGGTCGGCCGGAACTGTGGGCAGAACCAAGGACGCCCAGCCGAAAGGCGGGGGAGACGTCGAGATTGTATGTCCCCTCCAGATTACGCAGGCGTAGAAACCAAATAATCCAGAGGAACTTCTCCCAGGAAATAGTCTCGTTTCCACAGAGGACGACGGCGTCTCTTGCCAGCGTGATTTCCTGCACGATCCATATCCTCACGAACCAGGGTCGCCAAAGTAGAGCATCTAGAGTTTCCCACTCGGGTGCATTGGCTGGTGGTAGTCCGTAGTCGGCAAGCTCGTTCTGCCAGATTTGGATCTGGTTCGGGGGAATCTTTCTCTTTGACTCGTCAAGGCGTTGCATGAGGTTCCATGCCTCGGTGACTTCTGGCCCTCCGTCTCCAAGCCATACGACGACGATCGAGGAGCGGCGGTAGATTTCTTCCATCATGCGAACCTGCGAGCTGCGTTCATCGATGTCGCCCTGGTTGATGCACACGGCGTCGATCCACATGACTTTCTCTTTCGAGGGATGGCGAATGTGATGGAGCGCAGTCCAAAGATTCACCGTAACCTGCAAGGTCTTCCCATCGCAAGAAATGTATTCAACAACCGAGGGATCGCCCCAAGTGTACGAGAGGGCTTCGTAGTGGAATGGATCGGCGTCGTCGAATGATCGCGTGACCAGCTTGCACTCGATTTTGGACCCGTCTGGTGGTCCCGGGAGAATATGAAGTAGACGAATCTGCCCCTTTTCAAGGCCCGCGTACTGATACCACTCTCTCTGGCTATTGAAAGATGATGGAGTTAGGAATCTGCTATGGGCAGCTGGATGTATCGCGGAGAGTCTAACCTGGCATCTTCTGTGGTTCCGCATTGCTGGTCACGAACTTGCTTCTGGTATTTTCGGAGCCGGTAATCTGGATCGTTCAATTTCCTGATATATTTCCTGTGGCCGAAAGCTTAGCCCAACTCTGCTGATGTGGCTAATAGCCAGCCAACGTTTTCTAGTACGAATTGAAGACTTACGACGGCATGACCTTGTCTAACTTGAGCTGGCCGAATTTCATCAGCCCCAGCTGTAGGCCGAAGTACTTGTCGATCGCATCCGATGGTATTTTGGGCATCTTGGAGAGCGATGTCGATGGACAGTCATAGTGGTGATGTGGCCGTTTGGGGGAAATTATTCATCAGGTGGCTGGCGGTTGGATGAGCAGTTGGTTAGTGCCTTGGCCCCTGTGCTGACACTGATTGGACAATCAGCTGGAGGTCTATTAATCCCCATGACCACATCAAGCTACTCAGCTACACTCCTCTTCAACAGCTTTGAAGTTGATAAAGAAATTCGCCCCCGAATTCAATTGTGCCGATTTTGGTAGCCTTTGAACCATCGTATATTCATATTTCCGCTGTATTGATTTCAATGAAGATATTCCCACAAATATATCCCTCTGTATAAGCTATCCACATTCCTTAAAGCGGTTCAGATATGAGGGACTTGACCTAATACCTTGTTTTCTAACTGAGCATCTTGCTACTGCTGTCTTGTTGGAACTTTCTCAATGGCAAGAAAACTCCCTGATCGAGCAGGAGCTTCTGGCCCTCCTTGGAAATGACAAACTTCTGGAGCTCCCTTAGCACAGGATCCATTCCAGTCTTGGGGTCAGTGTTGGTGTTGAAATAGACGACCCGTGACAAGGGCCATTCTGCAAGGGCAACATTCTCATAGGTGGGTGCGATGACCGGGCCGTCGTCAGTCGTAGATACGCCCAGCACCTTGACAGGGCTGTCCACATAGGCAAGGCCTGTGTATCCAATGGCGGTGGGATCTTCGGAAACGAGGCGAGAAACATTGAAAACGGTTTCCTCCCAGGTGACGTGAGGGTCTTTCTTCGTAGTGTTTGTATCTTCGCCAGAACGCCCTGCATTTGATTAATTTCTGGGGGCCTCTTTGGACTTTAAGAAGGATAGGACTTACATTCTCCTCGCTTCCCACCACAGCTCAGAACTTTCTGGCGGACGAATTCCTCGAATCCATTCCATGGTGTAATTCCATAGATGTTGATGTCTTTGTCGGCGAGCGTTCCGTTGACGCCGACATCCCCCCACTTGCCAATAGAATTGCCTCCACAGTTGCGCGTGGAACTGAAGATTGAGTCAAGCTGCTTGAAGCTCAAACTCTCAATCGGGTTGTCCTTGTGAGTGATGAATGAAATAGCATCCAAGAACCCAAACTGCCTGTACGAGCCACCTGCAATAGGGACGGACGTGGGATCGTAGCCGAATGCATCTTTGAAACCGCTGACGTCGGTTGGCTTGAGCTCTCGGGATACGAAGACACCTTGGAGGTTTCCCTTTACGAGCTCTAGAGCACCTAATGATCCAGCGTATGGCGCATGGATATTGAACGTGACGTTCGGATACCTATTATTATCAATATGTTATAGTCTTAACCTGGTCGGGTTTGAACTTACATGCGCATGAATTCGCCCAGCCATCTCTGTGAGATTGTAGCCAAAACGTCAGAAGCGGCAAAGGTGTAGTTTCCGGACAAAGACTCCGTGGTGAGCGAGTACGAGACGAGATTGTTGTCAAGAGAGGGGCGTAAGAGCTCGAGTCTGTCCGGGAATCGGCCAACAGCCAACGATCGGCTGTAACAGAGTAAGCTACAATGACTTTACAAAAAAAACGAGTTCCAACGACTGCCAATACTTACTCTCCCTGTGCCTTTGTCTGAGAGGAGTACGTCGGCATCACTGGCGTCATCACGTTCACGAATGGTTGAGGCAGGCCTATGACGGGAAGGATAAGGCTGGCCAAGGCCGCAAGAGCGGCAGGAGACGGCATCTTTGCTGGGAAATAACAGTAGTACTGGTCTTCTGAAGGGAAGTAGAAGATTCAATTCGCTTGTGAGACAGATTTTCCGTTCTAGTTGAAGCACTGGTCGTATTTATACTTTTCTTTTGGCACTGAAATTCGAATAGACGCCCCATATAGCTCCTGCAGTAGACTCCATAAATCATGCTGGACTGGATGGATGCTGTCATACTGGCCCCTCAGATGCCCTCGGACCATTACGGATGCTGATGTCGGTGGACATCACCAAGCCTTGCTCGGGTTGGAGTACCCCGGATGATGATGAACCTAGCACAGGAAAGAAGCTCAGATAGCTTAGCTTCAGCTCCACAAGCTAAAGTGGCGAGTATATCGTGCACGACCAGACGAAAGGCCCAGATACTCCGCAGTTTGTCTCGTCGGTAACTGTCCGAGGCTCCACTGACCAAGGAAGCACTTTTGGCTATAAACTCACCCATAGCCTTGTTCACCTTGTCCACGAACCAGCAGATCACTGTGGCTGTGTTCTTCCGGCTAGACTTGGAGGCCCCATGGGGATTATAATGGGCCTCTAGATGTAGCGGTCGGGTTTGAGCGGGGGACGTGGAACCATGGTTTGAAATTGTAGAGGTATGATTGGGAACGGGTGGTATCGCAGAGGGGATATAAAGCTTGTCTTCATAATATACTTGGTATCAGCATACTCTGACAGTTTTAAGTCATTTCGGTGCCTTGAGTAGAATTGGAAAACACTTAAGCGAAGTCGATGAGCTTGAGAGTTTATGCCGGGGTATAATCCCTAACAATGTTGTCTTTGACTAACCATAACCACAACTCTCTTGACAAAAAGAGACCTGTTGTTACCTAACCCGAGTGACAACGTATTGTGCAGCTGACCGTTGCGCGATCTCCACTTGAATCGTCATCTGTGCTTAGACATGGTGGTCTTTCGGAGCTCGGAGATTGAGGTCGTCTCAAGTACAAGGATCGTAGTCACGTCTGTATCTTGCCGTTGAACAAGAATTATCGATGGCTGGTTTTGGTTCTTTGTTGATCTTTCGCCTTTCTTAGACACGCACAACATGCAGTGTCACATAGGTTCATGTATACCAAGGCGTGAGTGTGCCGAATTCCGTAGCGGGACACTCGCAACAAGGATTTGGTCGGACGATGTCCGTAGCCGAACACTGACATGTAATCATTTCAATTTGATTTGGTCTACATGTGCACTTTTATGGGCTCTCCCAGCTTGTATCATGGGATGGTTCTGGCTGGGTGACAAGGGGGGTCGGAATCCGAACCACAACTCGGTGCTAAGATCCTTCCACCAAACCTAAATGTAAATTAGCTCTGACCATGTGGTGCAGCATCACGTTTTCTGCAGCCATTTTCGATCTGCTGAGTCAGACAAGATCATCTTCGTCTTGGACGGCATCAATTTCCGCTCGGATCCCGATACTGACCTGACAGGCCCCCGTCGTCCTCACCCATGGAATCGCGGTGTGGATTGGTGCCACGGGAAAGACACATGAGTGATGCAACATCTAAGTAGTATTGCTCTTAGGGTCACGCGAGCCGCTGAGAACCTGTTCACGGCGGTTGCTGTAGTAGTTCTTCCGGTGACGCTATACAGGTTCAAGTTAATCGTGGCGATTACTTCTAGTTGGTATGTGCTGTGTAGCAGACTGGTGTTTTTATCATGAAGAATCTTCAAGGCAACATGCCACATTAACCACTAATAAGTATATTAGAACATGGGTTATCTTGCTTTTCGAATGAAAGTAATGAGAATTGAACCAGTTACTGTCATTCAATATGCTCAATGCCAGGCATTGAGTCCACCCGATGTCAATGTTGCACAGACAAGTCCCGCAAGTTCCACTTGGTAAGGCAGGACTTGGGCCATCTAATGAGGGGTAGTGCCACTGCGGGGATCGAGAAGCTTTACGTGGGGTGTAGCATTGCCAAGCGACGGCTGGGCCCAGTATCAACATAGATGGAAGTTGCCGCTCCCGGCCTCACGCATACTACCACTTGGAGATCCAATTTCTTGTCAATGTCATGGAGAATTCGTGTAGTATTCGGCCCGATTTTCGAATCATCTCAAGTTTGAAAAGCCGACTCTTTATTCCCGTGTGAGACCTCGGCTACCTGAGAAGGGACCCCCATGCGTAAATAGAAACGTCACTCATCGTGAGCGAGCTCCAGATCAAGAAACTCCAAGTTAGGGAACTAGACAACCTGCACGTCGGTTAAGAGCCTCTAGGTCCTACTCGGCCAATTTCCGAGCTTCAATACCAGGGAATGTGATGCTTAAAGTCTACTGGTGGAAGATATGTTGTTCATCAGAGGAGGGGACTTTTCCCTGACCGGCTCTCTATGCCTCAGAAACTAATTGAGGGGAAGCCAATTCTTGGTCTACGCTCCCTTCCGGACACTAGATGTTTTCTAACAGAGTAAGGTTAAGTCGATGGGGTTTCGCTTCCATGTCCTTTATTGCTGCAGGAGTGTTATCCGTGAAATGACAACCATTAATCCTTAACTTGTCTAGCTAGTGGAAGACAGAGAGAGCATAGTATGAGGTAGTATTGATTCCCTAACAATAGTTTAACATATTGTGCATTAGAATATTTTAGTAAATTTAATCTCAAGAAATCAATTCTTTTGTCTGGGATAATCACCTTATTAAAACTACTTCTATAAAATGGACCGGATAGTTGATTTATTTCATTTAATATAGATTTTATAAATTCCCTACTGAAGTTTTATAAATAAATAAATAAATGTTTATATGATGTAATTAGAATTAGCATGACTCTTTATTAAATAGAGAGAGAGGAAATCAAAGCCTTTGATTAATTCCGTTCCGGTAGATGACCTCAAGCTGTGGCTGCCATGGCCGCACGTGATATTTGCCAATTGCGTTACATTGTTCCCACTGTGTGCTTGAGCTGACCGCGTCGGCTGATTCCTACCAGACTCCTACCGCTACGTTGACGGCTCTCGCCATGATCTTCGGATTCACCTGCATCAGACTCACCAGTCCGAGGTCGTACCTTTTCTACATCGTCGCTGATGTCGGCCCGGGAGGGAGCAGCCGACCCCTGGCCGTGGCCTATCGGCAGGGCAATTTCGGAACAAGGCGCACTTTTGAACGGCACACGAGAGCTGTGCACGACATATTGAGGTTGATCATATTACTCTCAGATCCCGCGAACCGACCTATGCTCGAGGCAGAGGTCGCACTCGCCAGAGCTTGGTACCAGTCTCGGGACGATCAGGCTCAGGATGAAGAGGTGCCTGAATACCTGCGCGAGCAGCGCCCGGAAGTTCCCGATACCGAGCAGCCCTGTTATTCCACCATCAATAGTCGCGAGGCGGCAGACTCACAGCCAGAGCTGCCGTGGGACGATTCGCCGAGAGAGTTTCCCTTCACGTCGACATGTCTTCTCCTGGGGCTGCTGCATGACGATGGCTTGAACGAGACTCGCCCAGGCGATATCCAGCTGCAGCCGCTTGATACTGTATTCCGTGGGACATCACTAGAGTATGGAATGGCCGTGCTGGACATATCAAATCTCGATCAAGTAAAGTACGGCATAATCGCTTTCCCCATCCGGTATATGGCCGAGGTCTACTATCGTGGAGAAGAGTTCGGCTGGGATCCCGTCGAGGATGATCCGCCGACGGAAGAGCCCGTTGCCGTCGCCATGGAAGTACGACCTCGCGCTCTCTTGTCTATCCTTCAGAACCTTAAAACGTTTTACTACACGGTAAACTTGCAAAATGAGTCGCACGTCCTTGAGTTGGAGCAAAAGCCGCTGGCTGATGGAAGGGTCCTTGAGTGTATGTATCCAGGCGCGCAACCTTACTTATTGAAATGACTAACTCAAGAGGGAGATATCTGGCCTGTTGACTCTGAAGATAAGAGGCGAAGTTCATCACACGGCATTGCATCTAGCATATTTAACTGTAGGCTACATCGTCCTCTTCAAGTGCTACATAAACTAACTGTGCCACTATTAGATCTCTGGCCGGGGAAGTCTACCGCCGGCGATGATGACTTGAAACAGAGGGTCAGGTCTCTCGGGACGGCTGATAAACCGCACAACGCACAAATCGACCGCGCGATCGATAACCTGTTGATCCTTACACAGAGCAACCTCAGCCTCGACGCCTGGACCATCAGCAAATTTCAGAAGCTGGCCGAATTCCAGAGTCAGCTGCGCAGGCGACTCGAAGAAACTCCGGACAGCTTAGGCCCTTCAGAGGCCGCAGGTCACATACTTCGGATCGCGTATTCTGGGCACAACAGCCTTCACTGGGTCTTGTTCAAGAACATCTCGTACGAGGCGGTCGCCGCCGCCATCATGTCTGACGAGCTCCGAGGGGCAGTTGTGCTGAGCCTTTGCGTGGACGACTTGAAGGGGGAGTTTAGCGTTCTGCGGTCCGCTATATCACGTATTCCATCCCTCAAACATCTCTGTCTACTAAGAGACCCGGACAGAGAGAACGATGACGCGAGCGATCACCTCTGCCGTCGGCTTTTTGAGCTGTCGCGCCAGGATTTACTGTTTCGTGACAAAACAGTCTATCTATCGTCCAATTTCTCAACGCCGTTGAACCGAGTTCAATGGCTTCCAAGCGAAGACTGTCTTCCCTTACAAGTCTTGCCCACGATTCACGTTCTCGCGCGGCGAGAGGGAAAGGTTGGGGATGGTGAGTCTGTTCAGCACACTTGCCATTATCTCGGCGATGGTCTTTTCGGTGCAGAGCGCTTTGCTGTCGGATTCTTAACATATCTGCAGTCCATCGGGTCGAACAGAGAGATGCTACAGTTCGCATGCGGACCACCAACACTCAGTACTTACGAGTCAAGTCCTTCGGCAAAGAGGCTGGCCGTATCGCCCATCCCGGCCGCGGCCTGTGCGATACCAAAGACGGATGGCGAGCACATCATCATGGGAGCTGGTAGCTGGGTGGTTATAATGGACGTGGGCCGTTATTCGCACCGCACCAAACGCAATGTCTCACCAGATGCAGCCATCATTCGATACGCTTTCCTCAAGGCAAACCAAACCGTCCGGGCTTCTGGAGCTTTCGAGCCTGATACAGCAGCGACCGAAGCCATCGAAGTGGTAGGAGGGCTGGGAGCATTCATGCGCGAAGAAGTGCCCGGTGTCGACGACACGTTAGTCGAAAGATTGCTCGGAGACGCCGAGGACGCTGTCGCCCGTCGCTTTCAGGCAAGGCCGGCATCGAATGCAAGAAGTATCGACGAGATGGACGAAACTAGTGCTCGAGCACTATTTAATCGCATGCTACAAAATCTGGACAAATCACCTCCAAAGACTGATGTTTAGACGCATAAATCTCATGCGAGCGTTTTGGTTTAATATTCCTACGTTTTGCTCGGTCTACTATGTTTTTGTCTATGTCTAAAATGCTTGTCTATTAAAGATGAGTGAAAAAAATGTCAAGAGTTGAAAAGCGACCCCATCAGGTCGGGATCATGTTTCAGGCCGCCCTTGCTGGATGAGGCCAAGACATTTGATGCCCATGTACTTGCCCACATGCCTTTGCAATAGCTCTACACGGTGGGGATTCCACCTCTTGAAATCGGAGACGGCGACACTGTAGCGAACGGCAGTTTAATCGTGGAACTCTCCTGTCCCGACAAAGTGACCACGCCACTGGCTATCATCCCCAGAGCCGATTCCTTAGATGCTGTTTAATGACGAGCAATATACGTTAGCGTCTTGAAACGTGGCTATCTACTTGTTGTCTCCCAGTTGCGTGACTTGGCGGAGTGTTCGTCAGCAACAAAGCGCCTCTGAGTAGGAACCAACCCCATTTCAGCCCTTGGCCGCATCCAAATCATGATTGTCGCCAAGAGCTGATATGCTTGTTGAAACTTCTGTATTGGTCCAATTGGTGCAGGTTCTAAAGGCGGAACGTCATGTATCTGAACCTGTCCAGTAACAATCCAAACGTTAGGTCTCATGATACCGAGTAATCCATCAGGTGCGAGGAAATTCAGCTGGGTCGAAAGCCACAAAATCTGCCACACCTGCTGAATGGGATCGCCGAGATCGTTTACGGCCCGTCAGCGGCCCGTCAAATGCATGTCGTTTCCTGAAATGGCCAGTTCCATCCAAAGAGGCGAGCTGAATACTGCAGCCCACGTCTCAACCCTGCGGGGCCCGTTGCTCCTGGGCAGGCTCACCGTCTGAAGCAGGAAAGATGTGCACGATATCGAGAGCTGAAAGCTGAACGATGTTATTCAAAGCTGAAAGGCGAGCGATTCCATGTAGCATGTTATCCACTGCAAAAGGCTTGCTACGTTAGTAGTCAATCTGCGCTGCCGGAAGGAAGGAAACCCAGCGTTGGATTAGATGTTGCCCCGCAGTTCGAACGCAGCTTGATGCAGCTGAGACATGGAGACGTTGCCGCCCAATTGCGGAGATCAAGGCGAGCGGGCTGCTTTGGCTTGGGCCATGAGACCAGCCTCTCCGATCAACTGTTTGCTGTTTGCCTTGTCGGGATTACCATAGTAGATTCCCGTAGTGTAGACATAGCCAGATGTCGTTTCCTTGGGTTATCACGCATAGTCATATAGCCTTCTGACGTACTCTAACACTCTGTCAACATGCAGGTCATGTATACTGAATCTCCTGAGCTGGCTGACTTCGTGGAACGTCACTGAAATAGCCTGCAAAGCTCTCGAGACACGCCACCTCTACGGAATCAAGCATCAGTAGTAGATTATTACGTATTGAGGAGTTATGCCAAGCCCTCCTCAGCTCTCCACTGCCACAATGGAGGCCGATGAATAGAATCAACGGCACCATGCCATGTCATGCTAACCATCTATGTGACTTCTACGTACAGCTGTAGGGTTTTTACCTTGTTCGCTTGCATCAATATTGGATCAATATTGGGCTATGATGTATCAAAGTAGAGACACGGCGGAGGCATTCTGGTCTGAGCTGCCCAGCTGATGTTACCTTGATGAGCTATTGCACGGAGCTGCTCTGAGGTGGCACTGGCATTTGTTTTTATTATTCAGCAATAAGAATCGTGTATAAAAGCCCGAAGGGCAGACTGAAATCTACTCTCCTGTTCTCTACTCAACAACGCGCAATCAAGTGAAATACTTCCATAACTACTTCTCTTCCTTTAATTGAACACAACTGTGAAGATCCAACATGATTCACAAGGGCCAGAAAGACATCGTGGACAACAATGATCTTGGCGGTCATGGAGGCGAGTCCTTCACTATCAGCAACGACCTTAACCCGGTCTAGACCGTGACCCTCTGGGTCGGCAACGGTAGCTGGGGCTATCATGACCGGAAGCTGATCAAGGCCATCAAAGTCCAGTACAAGGATGGCATGGAGCGTTTCTACGGGAACAAGGAAGGCGACGACAACACACCGCACTCGTTCAAGTTTGACACCGACGAAAGAGTCAAGTCGATGAGTATCTGGAGTGGAGACCGCGTCGACAGAATCAGGTGGCAGACTAACCACAACCGTACCTTTGACCAAGGCGGCCAGGACTACTCTTGTGGCAGGGGCGGTAGGGAGCATCCAGAGCAATTGGGCAACGGCCTCCTTCTTGGCTTCAAGGGAACCACTAATACGTATGAGCTCGTCTCACTTGGAGCTTCGTTCAAAGAGGACTCGGACTAGAGGTAAGACAGCCGGAATCCTTCAAACATTGAGATAAACTCACCATGCTCTTCTAGATCCCAGGCCGCTCAGTCTTAGTGCATCACCAAGCCTTTGAATCGCATGTGGTTCCACTCGTGTAGTTGTCGATCTCCGGGGAAAGTAGGGGGAGGTAGTCAAGGAACGGAATCTTGAAACTGTTGTATCTACGCCAATTACCATACAGCCCGTTCCACTTTAGTCTCGAAAATGAAGAATGTTCTTCAATTTGTGCTTGTTATTCATACCAGTGCATGTCTAAATTTGCTATTCTCTTCATGTAATTGCTATTCAACCATAAACTGTAGTGTGCAGCTTGGTTCTTTTCAGGCTTAGATCACGGATGTCATCGAGAGGTAATATGACTGTTCATGACAGCAAATAGGAAGTTAGCATTAATCCTTATGTAGATAAGTCATCATAAATTAGCCGCCATAGACTCCGTTGGAGCTTAGATTAAGTTTCAAGTTCAGCCCAATAGGCTCAACCCCTCCCTCCCCGAAACCTTCTGCCCCAATGAAACGAAAGATTCCAATTGGATTACCACTTGGACAGCAAGGTAGCACTCGGCTTGCGGATGATGGACCGAGTGAAACATAAGTCACCTGGCTAGTATGATATAAATCAGTTCCAAGGATTGCGTAGCTAGGTTCATAAAGCTTGCCGAAATGGAAAAACTTGTAGTCAAGTCTCCTCAAAGTTTAGACAGGCCATTGCACTCGTTGGCAGAGCTTAGCTTTTTATTACCGTGCGCAAGCGAGATGGTAGATACGCGTAGTGCAAGTCAATGCTGATGGGCGACAGAAAGAATCAATAAAATAAAGTCTATCTAACAAAACATAATTTCTATGAGGACAAGACCCTCCTAACCACCCTCGTTAGGTCTGTCAGATAGTACCGAAACCGGCACTGGTCTTAACCGAGTTGACAGCCGAGTAAGCAGCCGCCGAAGCAACGTTCTTGCCCTTGAAGTTGGCCAGGAAATCAGTCGTGCTGCTCGAGAAGGCCCCAGAGCTCCCGAAGCCGTTGACCTGGCAGGTGTGGCCGAGAGTGGCCGAGCAGGCCGCGTTGGCGCTGGCGCTTGGGCTGGTAAAGAGCTTGCCGGTGAAGCCGGACTCGACGGGTGCGGCGACGTTCTGGAAGATGTTGCCCTCGGCCACGACCTGGGCGCCCGTGCCGACCTCGAAGGCATGACCGGCATTATCGTACCAGTAGTTGTTGACGGCGTGAAGGAGGGTGTTACCGCCGACCTTGGGGGCACGGCCAGAGGTCTTGTAGATGTAGTTGTTCTTGAAAGTAACGAGCTGAGCGAAAGGTTAGCGTATGACTCAGGTAAAAAGAGAGCATCTTCCCGGAACTTACATCGCTGGATCCGGTAAAGTAGAGACCCCAGTAATGGTAACCATTGCAAGTAGCAGACCAGGAAGTAGCACCATCAATCTTGTTGTTAGAGATTGTGACTCGGTTGCTTGGGCCGTTACCCAGAACAATATGTTGGCGACCGATGAGGGAAGTGGTCACATGGTCGATCCAGACCAGGTCGGTGTTATCCAAGGCAATAGCATCGCCGCCCCAAACGTACTGAGGGTTAAGGTTGGTGATGTGGATGTTTTGAACAATGACGTTCTTAGCCCCTCCAGCAATGTACAGGCCTTTGCCCTTGATAATACCCTTGCTTCCGACGCCAACGAGAGACTTGTTCGACTTCACAATAATGGGGTTCAGAGCGGCCTTGTCGTACTTTACGGAAACCTTGGGGGCGTTGGGCTGGTAGTTGTTGCACCACGAATCCTTGTTGATGGCGGTTTGGCAACCAGACGCCGTGCCGTAAGGAGCGCAGCCGGTCTCGGAAGCGGTACCCTCGGTGCCGGTGAAATCGAACGTGCGGTCAAGGATGATGACCCGAGCGGATGAGTCGCCGAGATATTTGACCAACTCGGAAGTTGATGTCGGATAGACTGCTGCGGCTGAACCACCGCCAGTAACACCCTTGGCGAAGCCTTCGGCGGCACCGGTCACGCCGACAGCTGTGACTGTCTGGACGAGAGCCGCAACTGCGGACGTCAGCGTGATGTCGAATCTCATGATGGTGGATTATCGAGGTAAGGATACTAGCTGGCTGAGATTTGGCAAGCTGCTGGTCCTTCCTCTGGTTTGTGACCAAGGCATATCGGCTTTATATACCAGTCGTTTGAGGTGATCGTGAGAAACGGTACGGCAGCAAATGTCCAAGAATACGGAGGCACACGTCCCGAGATGGCGGCGACATCGTGTTAATGCCCCGCCTGAAACCCGGCCGCTAGCTTCGAGAAACTTGGCACGTCTTCTTCGTCTGGACGCTCTGTCTCCTTACCTCTAACTACTTCAAGTCCTCTGCGCCGTTCGGGCCGTTCTCGACGGCGTGATGGTAAAATTGCTAGGGATTAGTGGAGGGCACGAGAAATGAGGAATGTGTTTGATAGGTGCGATTACTTGCTGCTTATTTGAGCCAGGATGCTCCCAGTGTTTCAGCACAGCAACGGCTATCTCGGCAGTAGAGTGGGCTCGGCCGAGGCTCTCGCCACTTCTTGGCTGTTATCCACTTGGTTAATCTCCTTAACTTCTCTTGACTTATGGGGACACTTGCAGCGCATTATGATCGTTGTCATTGGAGGTAACTCACCGCTTCACCAAGATGCTGCAAGGGTTTAGTCGTATTCTGCGGCTCTATAGCCCGTAGTGAACGTAAGGCACCCAGTGCAGAGGCCCTGTCTGATCTTCGTCTTCCAATATCGCGTCTCTGCCATGTCTCTCGGTGTGGAGATCCGCAGAAATCTGGTTGATCTTTGGATCAAGCCTCTTTGAAATGTCCCTTTGTCGTTCGAGGCCCATTGACCGCCTCTCCATCTCATGGAGCCAACGTGCTCTCAGCTTCCTACAGACATGATGTAGACCTTGCGAAGGGGAGACATCCGACATCCCTTCAGCACACATTACTTCGTACACGCCTGCTGCCATATCGGCGCAAACCTCATCATTCACCTCCCACAGGGTCCCAACAACGTGACGAAAGCCGGCAAGCTGGTATGCACTAATCAAGTGAATACCCTCGTTAATCAGTTCTGGATTGCGCACACGGCCGGTGCCACAAGCTGATAGGTACGCTAGAAACGGACGTCTCTGCTGAATATTCGTGTCCAGCAAGGTTCCTACTGTCAAGGGCGTCTTCATCCAGTCAGAGAGGAGCAGACTGCTCTGGGAAGGATCCAGAGGGTCTGTTCGCCCGTGCCCAGCGTAGTGAAATACATCGCAATCGATCAAAGCCTCTAGCACGCTGTTCCGGACAGTTTCTGGCTTCGTGACTGAAAGCTGCAGGGATGAACACCTCCGTTCAACTTCCTTCATCTCCTTGTCTACAAAACCAAGAGAGGCATGTCCAGGAGTCTTGGACATACTGACAAGCAGAGCCTTATGGGGCTTCGGTGTGGTTGTATGTCTTACCCGATATTGTCTGTTGTGGATGATTGCTCTCACAGAAACGCTGTAAGACGATATTGCTCGGTCGAGCACACTCATTCCAGGTGTATTACGATGAAAGCCCGCTGCATGGATTGGAAAATTAGCCAAAGGCCCAGTAGGAACCCACCAGATGCGAGGCCACGAGGATTCAGTCGTTTGACTAATCCCGAGGCTGTCAAGCACCGGCAGGGCGATAGTGGTCCATAGCCACTCCAAGACGTATTCGTCATCCAGAGGCCTCTTTGACAAGTCCTGGACATCCAGCAGACTTGCGCCGGGGAGCGGAACAACTCCGATATGACCCTCGTGTATGACAAAAGCGTCACACCGGTACTGACTGACGTTGATGACGACAATGGCCCCTTCCTCAGCAGCACTTATGATTTCTGTCTCTGTTGGGGCCAGAAGGAAGCGCCCCATTCCAGGCATTTCGCGAATCTCTTGGATTAAACGTTCAATCTCCTCGCTGGACTTATTTCTTTGGCTGATATGATCCTCAATCGAGGGCATGGGCTCGTCGAGACGGTCTATCAGTTCGTAAAACTCGTTCGCTATATCAGGATAGTCTTCCGTGAGATCATCCACATCCATTCTGAGCTCCCACTCCGTCGGGGTCAGTTCCTCGTCTTCGGCCGCCGAGTTCATGAATGTTTCCCACCCGGGAATTTCACGCACTTGCTGGCTAAGCTCTCGAATCTTCTGGCGGGCTCGCTGAAGTTCGATGAAATGTGTTTGTGTAGATGGAATCGGAGCATCAATCCGATCACGCAGCTCAACAAACTTCCCTGCCAAGTCGGGGTATTTCTCATGCAGCTCGGAAATGTCGCTTCGCAAGTCAATGAGAGAACCGAGGATGGCACCTCGTCCAAGCTCAATGACACTCAAAGCCTCGAAAGGACTCTGGTCTGCCATTAACGCTACCGCCGCCGCGTCGGAAGCGAAACTGGTAAGGCTACGGAGCAGCTGTTGCTTATCCGCGACGCCCAGAAACCGAGGCGTCAGAAGCGGTATCAGGCCCAGAATAGTGTTCGAAACTCGATTTGCCTCCTCCAACTTTCCCGTAGATGCCTGAAGATACATCATCCTCATGCCTGCCTCGACTCTGCTTTGTAAAGAAACCGATGGGTTTTCAAGCGTGATCCGGAGTAGATCAAGCGCCTGTTGTATGTCATCAGCGTTGCTTCCTCGGCCTCTTCTTAGCTCAAAGACGGTCGCGAGCCCAGCGGAAAGGAAGTTATCCCTCTCAGCTTCCGGTTTCATTTGTATCGCTTTCTGATAGGCGTCCGCAGCTTGGTCTAGATCTTCCGCCGACCCCGTTATCTTGTACCTGGCTATATATGCTACTCCAATATTCGACAAGTACTCTGATTGACGCGCTGCTATGCTTGGGGGAGTGACTTGGAGAGCCTCTCTGAAGTTCTGAATCGCAGCGTCTACATGGTCAATGGCGTTGAGCGAGCCGATTACCTTGTGCCTCTCGTATTGGTCCATGCTTATAAGCGCAAGTTGCTGCCATGCCTTCCCTTGATACAGGGGGTCCGGTTTCAACTCAATCACCCTGCGTGAGATCATTTCGCATTGCTCCAGATCTCCGGGAGTTTGTGTTCGCTGAAATCGGAGATGATAGGCGAGACTTAGATTCATCTGCAGCTCCGCCCATTCTGGGCGAATGAAGGATAATTGAAATAAACGCTCTCGTAAATCTGAATACTTCGGTTGAGATCCGCAATCGCCCCCGTAGCTATGTATCTGCCCAGTGTCACAAAGCCCAACTGAATTAGATGCTCTTCAAAGAAAGCGGTTGACGTTGGTGGCCGCAGGTCCACCGCTTTTACAGAAAGCTCTCGTGCATGATTAAGCTCTTCCAAATTTCCCGTTTTCTGATACGAGGTATGAAAAATCCGACTGAGGTTGGTGAGATATTGAGCACGATCAACAGGCTTGGAAGATCCATTATTGACAGCTCGTTCTCCGAAGTGTTTAGCTCGTTCAAGGTTCGAGCTGTCTGCCGTTTCAGAGAATGCAAATCGATGCATCATTGCTAGGCGGGTCTCGTAGTCAGCTTTCAGAGCGAAGTTGACCTCCATTGTATCGATTCCCTTCTCATAAAGATCGAGGCCACGCCGTAGGTCTGGCACCTGTCCCGAGACCCCGTATTTCTTAACATATGATGTCCCTATTTCACGCAGTGCGTCTGCTCGTAGGCCATCCTCTTCTGTTAACGCCGAGATAACTTGGCCGAACGCGTGTATTGCCTTATCGAGGTCTTTGACATCATTTGACCTCACGAAGAGATTACTTAACGCGCAGCCAGATGTGAACAGCTCCTTGAGTTCATTTGGCACCAGCAGTTGATCCAACCCCAGCAAAAGCGCTAAGTCCATAATAAGGTGGGAAAAGATTACCAGTCTAAGCGAAGACCAAATGACTTTGAGGCATGGGACAATCTTCTTAAAGTTGTAATAATTGGCTCGTACTTAGTTAAAGGTAGGCAGAGAATAAGTCCCGCTTCGATTGATCCTTGCATGGTTCAGGCAGGTTAGGCGCACCTATTCACGTGATAGAACCTGAGGTCAGCTGATTCAATGATGTTTACACATGGTAATCATAGCCACAGATGTTTTAGTGCTTAGCTTTATCCACACTATTACAGAAAATCTAATACAGAACTATGCCAAGTACAACAGCGGGATATGTAAGAGAAACAGAATAGAGTTTAATAGCAATGGAAGATACCAGATCCCGACAACTCAATACAACGAATACTGAGACTTCTCGTCTATATCTTGCTATAGTGTAGGTTGACAATAATGTACCTAGACTGCCTTGTTCCATTTACGAGCTAATAGCCTACCCCTATCATTGACCCTCCGTTCATTGCCGAAGCCCTTCTGTCTCCTACAGCTCCAAAATCCTCCGTATCACTTCCCAACGGGATAGTGTCATCAAACACTTCGTTGGGTGGTGGGGGTACATGGTGATAGCCCCCTGGCCTTATGCCAGGTTGACTACTGCGCCCGTCCAGAGGAGAAGGGGCACCGGAACGGTCAAACACAGTTCTGTGCGTCGATCTGGTCTGACATCCCCGAGAATCGGTTCTGGAATCGTGCCTTTTGTAGGAGGGTTGCTTGTCTGTAATCAGCTTTAGCGTGTTCATCTGCATCTTGTCGATGAGGTCTTCCAGCACCTCTTCGCTGGTATCATCGGGAACGCGCCACTTGGGATACAAGTTCATGTGTGGAGGCTGGACGCTGAACTCATTATCGTCGTTCTGGAAATAGAAGTGACAAAGCTGGCAAACCGGTTTGCTGGTTGCGATGAACATGGTGCCGTCCCAAAAGTCCGACGCCTTGACGTTTCTCACTCTGGTGAGATAGTCGTGCATATGGACTTCTGCGTGAATGAAAGTCTTAGTGTTCCTCTTTAAGGTTTGTTTACAGATCTCCAATTCCAGCCCGTATTTCTGAAGCTCAGAGACATCGGCTTGGAACACGTCTAGGTCGTACTCAGGAAAAGCGCAGTGAAGTACGTCTGTCAATTTCCCCGACATGGGTGACACGACCTTCTTTTGTTTTGCAGAGGGAATGTATGCGACTTTGAAGCTCTTGAAAAGTTCAGGCCATTTCGTTGTTGCCTTGACGACGGCATCGGCGGCCTGACGATATGAGTAGAGGCGCCCCAGACAATGCCGGAGTTCGCACCATTTGTAAGCCTGGTCATGGTCATCCTGCTTGGCACGGCGGTCAATCTCTCCGCCAAGGCTGCCGTTCTTGCTCGCCTCGATAGCCTTTATAAAAGTCTCGCAATCGGTGAGGACTAAGAGGCATCACTACGTTAGAAACAAAATCATATAATTAGAAGGATGGGGTATATTTACTCTTGTTCCTCGCTGTCTCAGTCATCTCCCGTGGAAATTCGACTCTAGACTCCAATTCGCGCAGCTGCTGGGTAACTATTGATTTCTCAGGGAGGTTAGGAACTCGGTTGCACCCGGAGCTTGCAGAAGGGGTGAAACCTTTCACCGAACGTACCTGTAGATTCATTGGCCGATTCGCACTCATGGATGCATTCATCGAGAGTTCTAGACAGTGTGTTGAAATATCCATCAACCCTCTTGAAGCAGAACTCAAGAAAACGCCACAGAATCATTTTCTCGAGTGGCTTAGCGTTTAGGTTGTCAGGATTGGTGGCAGCAAATCGCAGCAACTCTTCGAGACCTCTTTTAATCTCTTCGAGCTGGGCCTCCTTCCTGAAGTTTGAGGTGAAGAGAAACTCAGCTCCCCCATCAGCAGCGAGGCATGCAAGCGAGGTGTTTGGCGCCCCACCCATATCATTGTGACAGAATTGAGCGAGCTTGCATTGGAAGTTCTGAAAGTCAGAAATTGATGGACCCCTGTTGGATTGAAACGAGCCGTACTTGATAGCACTCATAGCTATGCAAGCAGCAGTGATGCCTCCCTGAGCAACACAAAGATTGAGTAGCTGCTGTTGCTGATCAGTCGCCTTCGTCGTCTGGGACTCAGAAGTGCTGGATGCTGTGCGATAAGACATTCCGAACCGAGGATGATTATTTTTTGCTTGAGAAAAGGAATAAGATGGTAAGAGCTTTACCGGTATCAGGTTTGAAGATGAATCCAATTGATGGTTTGCTTGTAAGTGAGATAGTCCGAAGCCTGGAGATTATTTGGGATGTTCGGGAGCGGGTGGTTCTTTTTATACATGTTATCTTGGCTCCATGGTTTTCATTGACACCATGTCTTGGAGAGACCCTCAATCAATCATTTCACCTCGATTACGGCTGAAGCATAACGGCCTAAAGTGAGGGGGGCCAAGGCAGAGTTTGCTAACATCTCGATATGTGGAAGGCCAGACTTATGATCGCCGCTATGATTTCGCCTTGAACACTGCCTTAGGCGCTGATGCAATTTGACCCAATTGCATATTACTATGACTTTGTAGGGTGCCTTGGCTTTCGGTTATAAGAATGAGTTCTGCCTCATATACCCCCCCTTTCAAAAGATAATATCGACCTGACTGGCTGTAAGATGATGAATAAGGAGGCACACCTTTGGTCCTTGGGTACCCACGCATAGAGGTGTCATGCGGGAGGCCAACCAACCTCAAGGAAAAAAGGCCAATCATTGATCACTTCGGTTCCGAAGCCGGATGATGGCTTTATCTCGGGGTAACTATTATCTCATCCTCTAGAGAGAGCTACCAGGCGTTACATTGCGAAAATTCCTCTTGCCAGTGTCCTCTACATCTAACGCTTCAATCATTCATCACTCGGGCTGTCTTTATAACCACCATGGATACAAACCTTTCGACGCAGACTCTCAAACATGGAGAGAATGGCCCGTCTACCATGACAATCAACTCTGTCAAGAAACTAGAAGGATTACGACAAGCCCTAGAAGGTCTCCCCGTCAAGCCGCCTTCAATCTATCTAGATGCTCATGGAGTCGCGCAGGACGAATTAATCAGCCTGCAGATATTAGTGCCACCAACCGGCACGCTTTATCTAGTTGACATGAAACGTCTTGGTACCGCAGCGTTATCCACAACGGCAGACAGCAGTGCGTCGCTCCGCTCCATACTCGAGTCAAAGTCCATCCCCAAGGTTGGGTTCGACATTCGCGCCCCCTCTAAGCTCCTGTTCCGCGATTTCAACGTTTCTCTTGATGGCATGTACGATCTTTAGTTGATGGAACTCGCGAGCAGAGGCGACGGACACTCCAAGAAGCGCCTTGCTGGGTTCGCAAAATGTGTCGACCAGGACGTTTCCAAGTCCAACACTACGAAGAGTCGCTGGCTCCAACCGGATGATTCTACCAACATGCACTTATTTAATTCCCTTGGCCATGTTCCTTCTATGAAACGAATCGAATTATATCCTGCGCTGTGGGCGGTTTACAAACAGAGGCTCAGTATTCCAGGGCAGGCTTTCTGGCTGAGTTCTGCGCGAGCACAGTCGTGGCAGAGGGTGCAAGATTCCAAGCTAAGCAAGGGAAGACAGGGTGAACAGAGCCTGGGTCCTGCGTCCTGGTGGGACTCGGAACTATTGCACTCTGCCATGGAGGACTGGAACGAATGGCTTTTCGCGGAACGCATGGCAGGAGACTACGAGCTTAATGAGGACGCTGAATGGGTGCGGCCATGTGACAATTGACAGGAAGCAATCTACAAGTATGCTATTTGTTGTTCTTATCTATGCATTAAACTTGGCTTTACCAATTGGCAAACATAAAGTAATGAGTCTTATATAAGTTGTACGCAGTGAATAAGAACAGGGGCAAGTGAGTTTACCACGCATCCAGCCATCCTCCTGGCAGCGAGCGCCAAATCCCCAGGCCAATCATGGCGCCGGTGACGAGAACGACTCAAATCGAATAGAAGATTCACATATTGCGATGTTTATCAGACTTGTGAGCCTTGGCATCCCCTGACACGGCCCAGGGGGGCGTCGATCTTGAACAGGCGGTCCTTAATTGCCATCAAGTAGGGTCAAGCGTCATGATTGCGAGTGATTCTTTGTGGCCACGCTTCTGGCGGCGTCACGACATCCCACGATCTTTTGGTCGAACTCCTCAATGAGGTTTGGTGCACCATGGCGTACGATCTTTTGTGCCTTCATCAAGACTTCTGCCGCATCCAAGGGGCATCCATGGTAGAGGTCGTCTTCGTCGGAAAACTCCTTCCAGAGTTTGGTCACGTCGGTTGCGTTTTTAAATAGTATTCCAAGCTTCTTGCAGAGTTGATTTTACTTATATAACTTTCCGGTGCGTCGCTCTCATTAGCTGTCCATTGATCGCAATCTCAACCTCCAGCAACTATTAATCTTCCTCCATCTTGATCCACGGCTTCACATGGGGGGTGTCGTGATATGTCCCAAAGTTCCAAAGCTTCGTCTTTGATTCGGTTGAAAGGACTTTGACCTCGTCCTCATTAAGCTTTCGGACCTCGTTGCGGAGACTGTTGTTGTCAGCACCAACTCCCAACAATTTGCCAAACAATCCGGCGTATTTGTTCTCCACTTCATTGCGCTTAGGTTATCGTGGGTTAGCCTTAATCACTGTCCAGTCGATGAGAGTGTGTTCTCCTTACCTTATCCTTGTAGCCCTTGCGATTCTCGTTTTTCTGTTTCGGCTCGACAGTGATCTGGTCGGGTTCCGCAGCGGTGGCTGGCCTCCCGGCCATCGAACAGTATTTGGTCGATTGATTCTCGGTCCTTGAATGCGATGACTGCCAAGCGGTAACCGCCCTGGGGCATAGGTTTCGCTTTTCTCTCTTCGCCAACGCGGATTCATGTGCGTATGGTGATAAAAGGAGCGATTTATATGTACCCGTTTGCCTGTCCAAGTTCCATTAATTGATTATTCACTCGCTGTCTATCGGCTGGATGCGCCAACATACCTCACGATTGGTTGACTTTTGAGCAAGTAGACACCCCTTACTATACAACTTTCGTCTGCGATTCTCCTAAAGTTAGGGTCGATCCAGAGGTAGTTCGCGTCATGGGAGCTGAACATGCGACGCCCCAAACCGAAGAAGAAGCAGGATGAGGATCGAAGGTCTCCATGTTGGGCTAGGATTGGTGTTGAGGTAGAAGGAGAAGTACTAATTTAAAAAGTGTGGTCAATTGAAGAGGGTTAAGTGCTCCATGGCATGAACTGAGCCCAGATGACGGGCATACCGCAGAGGCTATGGCTGATGATTTGGGCGCCCTGTTGTAAGGCCATTGGCTAGTGTGTATCATTGGGGATGTATTGCTACCGATTGCCAGAACCTCGAGACTAACAATTGGTTCATGCCCATTATTTTTTCGAAACTGTTGGAGAAATATAGATTAGTATTGCTATCTAGTAGATCGGGGATAGACAGAATGGACACTTACAGCCATGGTGAATTGATGTGGGGGACATTTGTATCGATTGTTTATAAGTTGATTATAAGATCAAATACATCGATATTTGTATACCAATGGATAACTGCTGGTGCTTCTACACTAGCCCCTGAATAATTCTGAAATGGGCAACCCAAGCTCAAGCAGTAGTTTATTATCGGACAATTGCCTAAGCTGGAAATTTCGTAAGTGTCTTGGTAAGTGATTTTTCTTTCTCATAATACCTGGCTGGCGACGGGTTGGGAGGTTGGTAATGTCTGTGAGGCCTCGCGCCTAAATGTGACCTCAGAGCCATTATGGTGAGTCCAATGACACCGGGCTCTCCCTCTAAAGTATATGTGAATGTTGAGGAGCCTAGCCCACCGACCGTCAGGGGACCTTTTGCCCATGTTTCGAAGGGTGGGCATTCCCTGTCGCGAGTGCTATCGTGTGTTTGACTTGCTGGTACACGTAAACCGTCACATCAGCATTCATGATTTTCGTCATGAGCTCGCGTAGTTCAGCTACTCCGTCTGGTCCTTCGGATCCTTTCCGATCTTTCCGATGAAGAGTATTTCTGGTGGACAGTTCTTGATGAAGAACAATCTATAGCAGGTCGCTTCATGGCAGGTTATTGCGGCGGTTGGTGCCTTTTTCAAAAACACACTGTTCTCATCGGTGAATGTTGCAGGTTGACAGCCTGCCCGGGGCTCAACTAGGCCTTGAGCCCCAATCTCCAGACTGCTTCACGAGTATATCTTGGTGACCATTCTTTCGTGAGGAGAAGTGAGGGGAAATGAAGCAGGGACTACAATGAGGAGGCGTTGGATAGGACAGAAGTTTCTTCTCAGAAGTGAAGTATTGTCTGCTCTTTCTCTTTGAACAAGTGCAAACTGCTCTGCTGATACAACTAGGGAACGAATTGGCAAGAATATAGAAGAAGCTTAAAGATTTATTACTCTTAATGTAAAAGCATTCCGTTGAAGCCTGGCTGATATCTCCAGCAACGCCCGAAGCGTAAGGCTCGGATGGTGGAGAGGCCCAAGGCAGCCGCTCTGGATATTGCTTGCCATTTGAAGAACTCTGGGCCGCCCCTTTGTTCTCAGGATTGCTTGGAATGCCTTTCTGCTGGCTCTGTAACAATCTGAAACGGAAAGCCTAAGCTCGGTCATTCGTTCAAAGGGGTTGGAGTTCAAAGTCGTTGAATCCAGTGGCCAGAGCCTGTCTGCGGTTTTCAGGGTCGAAGATCTGGACGCTTCAAGGAAGAAGGTATGTAAAGCTTGGCCTTCCATGTAGAATCGCGGTTTGTAAATAGTAAGCTGGGCCGTTTTAGGGCTGGGCAACTAGTGGGTTGGCCCAAATGTAGAGGACAGGTCAGGTAACGCTGGCCTTCGGAGTATAGCAAACATCTTCCATGCATGTTCTTCGACTTCTTGCAAGGCCCGTCTAGTAGGATTGGTACTTTCGGGTTTCTGCTTCCGGGGAATCCATGACTGCTCCGCATAACCAGACGAGAATATAATGCTCTGGCGGGTGCACAAGCGCTTTGCCCGTAATAAAGCAAAACTGCCCAACCCTATTCATGTCTGGCGACCTAAAGAGAACTACCAATTCTTCGTCGGCAAGCAGGGCGTCGTGGTCGAACTTGAGGCCTTCGTCGTGGCTAAGTGTTTCTTGACCTTTGGGTACAAGTAAAGGCGGAGGTTGGCAACAACTTGCTTCACCGGAATGTTTGGGTGGTAACTGAGGACGAAGGTGTTCTCATCGATATACGTAAATGCGAGGCCGCCGCGGCCATCCACGACTTGGATACCAGACTCGGCAAGCACACGCTTGTCGGCATTGTTGTAAATGGGGTCCTGGCAGAACACAGTCAGGCCGCCAACATGCAGCCGCTTGCCAATCACTTTGGCAATTGTTAAAGCCGCTGCATGCTGCACGATCGCAGAGTACACTCTGTCTGCCGGCACGTATCTCTCATCTTCAATCTCAATCGACCAGCCAAGGCTTCCAAGTCCAAAGCAGACTACCTTGAATAGAAGATGGGTGGGCATGTAGGGAGGCGAGTATGGGTAGGGAAGTGAAATTGTATTGATACCTTAGGTATCTACCTAGGTAAGCAAGGAAGTAACCTGATGTACACTGCCCTCGGTTCCTTCCCAATGTAATTGCCTCCCCTGCGCGTACCGGGTCCTTCCCGTTTCTCAAAAATTATTCAGAAGCGCATAGAATTTCCAATTCTGCCCTGCGTACGATCCAGACAGCCATTCTTCGCGGCTTTCACTGCCATCTCAGATTTGGTTCACGTCTATAGAGGACCGTCCTGTCTTACCTTGCACCCGTCTTTGCGCCCGTCTTCTCTCTATTTGAACATTTTCGATAATTTTGACCGTAGATGTCTTCCTTCTTTCTTGGTACTTTCTTGAGACAGGGACTCGAATTGGGCAATGAGGTAAGAGAGCTTCGACCAAGCAGGTCTTGCTCTGGGTTGCGCTTTCGGGTCTGGGCCGACCAAAATGAATGATAAAGCGAAGTTTGGCCAATTTTGTACTTTGGCTAGGGGAAGAAGCTCCGGTGGTTGCCTCAGGAATCAACCGAGCGGGTCGATCTCTGGGCAACGACGATCGAGGAAGGAGCTCCTCACGTTCCCCCTCCAGCCTGCCCAGTTGCATTTCTTTTCCACGTAATACACCAATCGACAGTTCAGTCGCTCGAGACTACCTACCAGCAAGGACAGATATCCGATTAAAACGCGGATTTAAGGTTTTCCTTCTCCGCTCTGAGGTTGGTGATCGTCTGGGTGTCAGCGGGGTTGTCCATCTCGGTATTGTGCATGGCGTCGTGTGCGTGTAGCGGTTGCGACGGCGTCCTCAATAGACTTCTGGAATGTTTCTTGGTTTGCGAGGAGTTGTTGTTGTGCCGTCCACTTCTGCTCTATATCGCGAATGTACTCAGTCGTCTGGGTCGCCGCTGCCTTCATCCTCCATCCGAGGATACGCAACCGGTGGTACTCTTGTCTGTTCCCTGTGTTGAGTGCCAATGCGTGCGCGTCGTTGCCCAGGTCCCAGAATGGGTAGAGTGAATTTGATCATGTGGAGTACTCTTTGAACGACAGTCAATCGAGATATACTCCGTCCGAAAAAGAAACCCTGGATGCGGTGAGAGCCCTCAATGAGACAACATGGCTCACCACTAGCACACGACAAGCAAAGCCTACACCGAGCGAAAACTTATCATTGACACGATTATGAAGTCAGTGAGATAGACGGGAAAGTGAACCACCGGATTGAAATCATGGAAGAACCCGACTTTCAGTACATCTGACTAGGAATACCACCAAGGTCATAGGGCAGCAAAAGGATTGTCACGGCTACCACTACAAGAACAAGACAATATACCCGACGTCGAGGGACGCATGGTATATGAGGGACAACCTGAAAGTGTCAGCCGTCAAACCTAACACCATTCTGGGTATCTCAAGCCGGCCGAACCTGGCAGCCGAACTTTGAAGAGTTTCCAACATGTCACTTTTCGATGAGATGTATCAATGCTCTTGGTGCTCAGGTATTTTATTGATTTGTCAAAAGCTTCCACTGCTTAGGTTGCCAATATTAGGCCTTCTCGTCAACTCAGGAGCACGCACGCTTCTAGATTCCAAGCATCTTTCCTGCCCGTTAACATGCTCTGCCTTTCACCGCGCAGTGGCACCCATTTCATCCCAGGACCCAGAGGTATTCTCGGTCAAAAAAAGTTGCTACAATCTGTTCTCGTTACCTATTAGATCTTTCCCCTACAGGACCTTAAAATTCTTTCTAACATACCTTTCTTTTAAGTAGTCCATACCATCAGACCCCTGCTGGGTACTTCGCTGCTCAAGCGGGTGCTAGTGCAAGTATCACCAGCCTCAAGGGTGATGCACGAGGCGCCATAAAGATTGAATGAAGCCCACTTGCTACCAGTGTTGGTAACAGTGATGGTGTTGTCGTCGTCGTTCAGGACGGCGGTGCCCCAGTTTGGGGCCGTGGCAGTCCACTTGCTGCCGCTCTGGACAAAAGAGACACTGGAAACGACACCGCAGCCCGCACAGCCGCAGTTACGAGTGCACTCCGCGGCCATGGAGGCCGGAAGAAGGGCGAGGACGAGGGCGCTGATTCTCATATTGTTCGTTATGTCTTCTCGGGGTAAGAATTGGAGAGGGTGTTGTATGTCTGGCTGAGCAGGTATGTATCTGGAGCAGCCAGGCGTTTTATACTTGAGAGACCGTTTCTATTTGCTGTCATTAGTATCATAGAGAGAAGGTGGTACTCCATTTCTTATTAATAATGAATAATCAAGCCGGAGGTCGCAATCCGGGACGCGATTTCAGGTCCAAGGTAACACTGTCGGTAGAACTCCCGGAAAGGTCCATCGGGCTACGTACGCCAAGCCCTACAAACGGGTCGGAGCCGGACGATCCATCGGCTGTTCGACTATCACGGCTCTGAAATGTCACGAGATTGACACCCACATAGAGAGAAGATTGACATTGGGGTAAGAACAATGTAGGTTGACAGGATGTCGTTCTTCAAGCCCTACTCCAAGTGGTAAAATAGGGCTCAGCATTCATATTACTTCACTTATCCAAATGATAAGCTATGACCGTTGTTTCCGGTAGTGATTTTACTACAACATCAAAATCCTACTGTGAGTTCCTACTATTACCGAAGATATGCTGAAGGGGCGGTGAAGTTAAACCAAAAATCCTGGCAATAGAGTCGTGTACGCATGAAAGTTGCGCTATGGGTTTTGGGATCAGATAACGGCGCAATGTCACCATCCTGGCCAGGACGTGGGGATGGGCTGATATTCGATGCTGCCCAGCTGCCGAAAAACAGCGAACCCCGGCGACGGTTGGGATGTCAAGACCAGCCAGGAGGCCTTTCGTACCTTATTGTCAGTGTATACATGACATGGAACATACATATAGCCGTCGAGGCAACCAGGGTAAGTCAATCGCGGGCCGGAGCTTCTACCTCCGGCCTGAAATCGCAAAATGATCCCTGGCAGATTGCCGGAATTGAGCCTTTTTTACGCCCAATTGGAAATAGCCGGCGATGTCTTGAGCAAGGATTCCCCTCTGTTTTGAAGTCGAGCCATTTTACGTTTTACTTGCCCACGACGCGCGGAGCTGGCATATTCGCCTGTGCCTGCGATAGAGAAGCTCCCAGTGCCGACTGGAGCCAGAGCGAGCGGCTCACACACCTTTAGGCGCAAAACTTGGATTGCCTTGGATTTTTATGGCCTGATATCGTTGTTTCCTCGTTCATCTGCTGCAAATTTTACGTCGGCAACCACACGAATGCGCTACACAATGTACCAAATAGAAAATAGCAGCGATACGCCTGGCTATAATGAAATACAAGCAGCATATCCTTGGCCCCATCCCCATACTCTCGTACACGCCAATAGTAAAATATACATTCTCCGTTATGAATTACTCAGTCCATCAGTATTAAAGAGATTGCTTACTTGCCCTGACATTCTTTGGGACAATTGCGAACTATTGTCATCCCAGATGATCCACTCACGTCTTCACATTGATCAGTTGGCCTTCTCATTTCTCGAGCGATGGATTGGTTTCTCCACCCACTACCATTCTGACGATTGTTGATGTCCATGCAAGCCATGCTAGCTCGAATTAGGGTGGCTGCCGGTTGACACAGGCTGCATGAGGGCGATCGAATATTTCCCAACTGGGTAATCAGATGTGGCTAGTGCTTACATCCCTGGCAGCAGATTACAACACGCTTATTCTTGAGCCTTTCAACTTGGGTACTGTTGTCGAGGCTGCTTGGACATATAAAGGCAAAGCCTTTCACCTTTCTTCTTTCAAATAACCAATTGATTCTCCGTTGATACACTTGTTGCTCTCCCCAATTTTTTTCAAAATGAGTATGGACGATAAGCCGGCTATCGTGCTCTTCAGTGGCGGCTGGCACACGCCGGAGACCTACAGCAAACTGACGAAAGCGCTGGCTGCCGCTGGCCTCGACGTACACTGTCCCAGAAATCCTTCCACCCACCAAATACGTCCGCCGACGTCGAGCCTCGCCCAAGACTCGGAGAACATGCGCAGCTATGTATCCAACCTGATTGATGGAGGCCGTCGAGTTGTCGCACTGGGCCATTCTTACGGCGGACAGGTCATGACGAACTCCCTTCATGGGTTGGGTGTCGATGCCCGCAAGGAGAAGAGTTTGGTGGGGGGAGTCACTGATTTGATCTATCTTTGTGCATTTGCCTTGGAGGAGGGTGGTTCCTGTGTGTATAACCCTACTTCCCTACTGCCATCTGTCTCATTAACCCTGGCCCCTTCGATAGTGTTCAGCAAGGTCAAGGAAATGGGGCACGAAGAACTGATGCCTCTCGCATTCGATTTCGCCGGCGACATGACCGTTCTTGCGCGCGACCCGAGAAGCCAGCTCGTTGGACAACACTATGACGATGCCGAGGTGGAAGAGTATCTCAACAGCCTGGTCCTTTGGAACGGTCAGTGCATGTACGACAAAATCGAGCACTGCGCCTGGAGAGAGATTCCCATCACGTACGTCTACACGCTCAACGACATGACGGTCCCCCTCGATTATCAGAAGTCGATGGTGGCAGCGATGGAAGCAGCAGGCCGTGTGCTGAAGACGCATGAACTAGCCACGGGGCACTGTCCAAATCTTACGGCTACAAAGGTTGTCGTCAGTATCTGCGCAGAGGTCGTAGAGGGTCGAAAATTGTAGGGAATGGGTGCATACGTCATAACTCCATATTATCGATTTACCGATAAGCGTTATCGCATTTTGATGAAGAACCTTCCCTCGGGTTGAACAGATAGCCTTTTCTTCCTCGGACATCATTCAATTTATTGCTTTTCGATTGATTGCTTCTGCGTAAATATAAATGTGTTTTTTTCAGCCCCCAGAATCCTCTAAATTGATTCTGTTGATGTTGTTCATCTACGTTGGGTTCATTCATGCGGTGTGCCCTAATCTCGTCCTTCAAACCCAATGTAATGCAAGAGAGCATTCCCGGTTCAGTTGATGTGCAGGTCAAATCCGTAGAATTTTGTGAATTCAGAATCACAATAATAAATCAAACTCTTAGCCCGAACTGAACAATCCATTCAGTCAAGGGCCATAGTAGAAGACCAGCTGCTCTCTGTTTGCGAAGATACAGGGTAGGTCGGCACTGCCAGGAGACATGGATGTGCTAATTCGGATGCCTCCAGCTTGGCATTTCGATCTACCGGCTTGGTTACTTGGCACACATCATCGATGGCATTGATAAAAAAATTGGAATGGAAGCTCTCTCCGTTTAAACAACCCACTCGGCTTTAATTTCGTTGCCAATTGAACATTGACCCAGTCAATTGCTGTGCAAAGCTCGTATCCAACCAGTTAGATCAGCCACTCTTCATCGCTTCGCCCCTGTGGCGTCTTGGTTCACAAACCTAACCCAGCAGCTTCAACTACATGCAGGCAAACGTGAACTTACTCCCCAACCCTTCTTCAACACGTTCTTTTAGCTCGAAATACTAACTCGATAAGCACGCGAACTCCTTGATTCATGCACACCTCACGCTGGCGTCAAAACACCAGATATTTCTCAAGTCTTCAACATGTTCCTAGGCATCAGCAGAAGCGTAGTATTAAGGGAGAAAAAAAAAACAATTTTTAACCATCCCATCACTAATAGTAGTAACAAAAATCCTAGGGTACATCTCTACTCTTCCCGATCAACATCATAGTTGCTCCATGGGTAAAATGCTTGTGTTATGAAGACAACTGGCAGGCTAAACAACATGAATGGTACATCAAATCCCCTACCCCTCCAAATCAAAATCGAACAGGCTCGGTTCTATTACTGAGTTCCTGTTCTCGCTTAAATTCCTTTACAACAAGAGCATGGCGCCGCCGAAGAGGGCAGCGACGAAGACGAGGGTATCGGGGCTGAAGACGCCGTTTGCCGCCGAGTTGTCGTTCTTGCTGGAGCTGCTGCTGGAGGAGGAGCCCGAGTTGTTGGTGTTTGAGTTGGAAAGGGCGATCTGGGTGCAGTTGCCGCCGCTGGTGTCGGCGGTCTGGGTCTGGGCCTTGCCGCTGAAGTCGCAGGCGGTGGAGGCCTTGCTCTGCTTGACGTAGTAGGCGTTGAGGACGTAGGCGAGCTTCTCCGAGTCGGAACACATGCTGAAGGCGCCGTAGACGCCCGTGGTGGCGTTTCCGTTTACGCCGGCGCAGAGGGACGAGTCCTTGCCGCAGATGTAGTCGAACAGGTCCGAGTAGTCGCTGGTGGACGTGCTCGACTTGACGACGCAGGAGGCGGCCTTGACCATGCAGCTGCAGGCGGACTCGTTGGGGGTGGGGGGCAGGTTGGAGTTGGCCACCCAGTTGGAGCCGACGGTCGGGCAGCTCTGGGCCTTGTTGGTGTTGGTGTAGCTGGACTCGCTGACGCCGGTGGGCTCGGCGGCTCGGAGCTTGGTCTGGAGGGCCTTGTAATTGGTCATCGTCTTGGTGTCGTCGCCGCTGACCTTGACCAGGCCTGGGAATTTGTTAGTGGTTGAAGGAGCAGAGGGTTCGCGATGTTGATCTTACCGTAGTCGTTCTCCTCCTCAAAGTATTGATAGACGATACCACCATTGACGACGTCGCTCATGTTCTTGGTGTACAGCGCAGTGGTCTCATCCCACTTTCGGCCCTCAGCTCCGCCCTGGGTGTTGCAACCATACTCAGCGAAGAAGACGGGGACAGAGTAGTTCTGGAAAGCTTCGATGAAGCGGTTGTAGCCAGACTCCTGGAATGTGCTGGTACCGCACCACGAGTAGATGTTGTAGCCAAAGAAGTCAATGGCGCTGGCAGAGTCACCGCAGTTGAAGTAAGCCGAGAGCTCGTCACGGATTGCCTCGTCGTCATTGGCAGCGTAGCCGACACCCATGGAGCGGTAGTTCTTGTTCTTGATGTAGAGCTTGGTGTCACGAACGGCGGCCTTGACGTAGGCAGAGGCGCCAGTGTTGTTGGCCTGGTTGCTGACCTCGTTACCGGCGAAGAAGCCGATGACGTTGGTGTAGTTGGCGAGGGAGTCGACGACAGCCTTGTAGCGGTCATAGAGGTCGTTGTTCCACAGAGGGCTGTTGCGGTTGATGGAGAGGGTAGGCTCACTCAGATCAGAGATGACGTAGATGCCAGCATCATTCAAGAGCTGCATGCAAGTGGTGTGGTCGGACTTGGGGTTAATGGCATAGGTACGGATGGTGTTGATGCCAAGAGCCGCCATGAGGGGGACATCCTTCTTGCAACGGTCAGCGTCGGCGAGAGGGTCAGTGTAGTTGGAGCTGGTCGAGGATCCCGACGCAGCGGAGTCCTGCTGGTAGCCCACGCCCTTGATGAAGAACTGCGTTCCATTCTCGTAGAAGAACTTGGAGCCCTGGTGGAGGTGTCAGAGCGAGATGTCATAGGTAAGGTAGGATTGACTAGAAGAGGAAGAGAACACAAGTGCCACATACCTTGATTGAGATGGAAGGCAGGTTGGCAGCAAGAGCACTGCTGGACAGCGCGAGCGCGGAAAGGGCAAGCTTTAGGGTAGTCATTGTAACGAGAGAATTTCTATATCAAAGGAGTGTACTGATTCAGGGCTGCATGCAGAGCAAAGGGAAAATGGCGCGATTGCCGTCTGGAAACGACAACAAGAAGCAGAAGAGGGTCAACGAGTGTGGGTGGTGATGAACAGGAAGCAGAAATCAGTCCCGGGAAACAGCAGGCTTGGGAAAAGGAAAGGTCAGGAACAGAGGCGCGGCAGTGGGAGGGGCCGGAAGGGGAGCAGTTTTAGCAGCGCGGCCACGCCAGCCTCACCAGATGCGGCCATTCAGGGGATGCGAGTGTGTGTGCATGAGCTGCTGCGGTACGACGCTTGCGTGGTCCATGGAGTCGCCCCTGGACGGTGGAAGGACATGACACACGGCAGATCGGCTCACCGGCATGAGGATGATGAAGCTACACGCAATCCAGCCAGGCCGGTCCACATTAATGCCCCCAGATCGAGGGTCCAACGGCGGGACAGTTAATGAATGGTCGGATACTCGGCGCAGCCAGTCCCAGAAGGGACGCAGACTGCCGTGACACCGGGCCTTTGATGCAGGGACGCCCAGGATCAGGCGAGCCATTTCGATAGTTGGCTGGCGATGGCGGTTTGGAGGCCGCCCGGTCATTTACTCGCGCTTAGCTGGTGATATATAGATGTTCTAGTCTGCCAGTAGTACGCGCCGAGGCCTATACGCCCTATCCTGGGGCCGCCTCAATCCTCAGGGAGCATGTAGGTAGTCATCTCTGTCGTTTTGAAGAGGTGCAGCATCGACGCATCGCCAAGCATTATCGCAGTTCGTGCAGACTCTTGGCGATGAATCGCAGCAGAAAGGAAAGATTTTCTCCAGATCGGGCCTCGGTCTAGGCCGGATTGGGCCGTCCATCGCCCCACTTACGCGCACCACGAACCAGGAACAAAAATGACCCGTTCTTCTGAAACATACGCCCACGCAGTCGCCGTCGACGATCCAAGGACGCATCACAGCATCACGAAATGGAGGGAGGCAGTGCTGGGAATTCTGGATCAAACAGTCTCTAATGAGAGACGTTTTTTACGAAACAGCTATTCCGGGAGGCATCCAAGGCGAAGATCGCTCGTGTAACTCGCCCCGGAAACGTCCATTGTCACCAAGCTACGCCTTTTCGACAATATGGAATCTAGATTTCTTCATCATCTCTTGAGAACTTCGGGATCATCGATGAGAACAATTTACTGCTTCAGACTATCGGTCGGAGGCGTTGGTTCCCACTGCACCAAGGCAAATAAACCCTTCTAGAAGACCCTCCGCTAGTTGATGATGCACACTGGCGCGGCCCTACGAAATCATTGGCCCCCCTTCTAACTGTTCCTGTGGCATTAGAAAACGATATAGCAGGCGAGATTCGCTCAGCTCTTCGTCTTTTCTCAGCCGCTTCCAGTGCGCCGCAATACTCTTCCCAGGAAGTCCAACCTGTCATTTCCCCTCAACGAGACCAACGCATTCTTGAATCATTTGACCATGCCCGCCTCGGCCCGCCTCGGACCTGAGACCAGGAAATTGTGACGGGGCTTTCTCCATGGTCTGAAGTTCTAGCTCAGCGAGAGTTGGTGACTGTACTTCTACATCTTGACGAGGAAGAAGACGAAGAATGGATCCGAGACTCGTCCATAGGAAGATAATAGGATAGCAGGAGCGTGATAAAACTACGCAGCAACCTGAGTGACTTGGATCCTATTGAGGTAATGAACTAATCTCGACATGGCCTAGTACTGGCAATCAGAAGATGTATACGAGCTACCCCCTGCGTTCGTATTGCGACCCAAATATCCAACATGGACACGATCATCTTACTCTGCTGGATATTTCAATCCCGAGTGGTCGGTCACCGTTTTATCCGTCAATGTGCCATGCCGAACTCCGAAAATTGAGGAACGAGTTATGGGCTCCATCATCTTCCCCTTTCCGATGATTGGCCATCTGATATCAGGACTACACTCGCCAATGTTGAAGATCATGAACCACTCAATTTCCATGTTGAACACAGCTGCTACATCGGAAACGCAATGCCATTCGATACGCGGGCCTAGACCAAACCAACCTCTCTAGCCTTGATCTGCAGAGCCAAGAGCGCAGAAAAGTATCGACAAAGCAACAGGTTGCCTCCCATGAACCAAAAGCCCGGGTGGCCGCTGGGACGCCACATCGTGCGGAACTCACCCTCGTGATCGAGTCCCCAGACGTCCTGCAGCCGATCTGCAATCTCGTCCCCGAAAATAACACGCGACTGCGTCCTCATATTCTGGTAGCCAGTCGCAAAGACGACCTCGTCAGCTGGCAGAACCGTCCCGTCAGTTAGCCTGAGGCCGTCCTCTGTCACCTCGTCGACCTCCTGACCATGCTTAATCTTGATCTTCCCGTCGATAATCAACTGGCTGGCGCCCACATCAATGTAGTATCCTCCTCCGCGTTGGTAATACTTTGCAATCAGCCCTCCAAAGTCGGGTCCCTTGTCAACTTTGAATCCAGCCTTCTGCAGACCCTCGAGTAGCTCCTTGTCTTCGTTGTGCTGAGCAAGAGCGGTATCGATCTGCGCCCTCTTCGACAACGGCCCTGGGAGACTGAGGTTCAGCACATCCGCATCATCAACTGGCGGGCTGCCCTCGCTGTATAGCTCCCCAAGGGCAATGGTGGCAGACGAGTACGACGAAATGACACAAGTAGAGGAACGTTGTAGCATGGTGACCTCGTAGCCGTTCTCGTAGTAGTCCTGCGCGATGTCGTGCCCCGAATTACACGACCCAACAACGACCGCGCGCTTCCCTTTGGACTCGGGCTTGGCCCCTGGGAACTCGGCGCTGTGGCAGAGTAGACCCTTGAAGCTTTCCATCCCTTTGATGACTGGTATGTTCTTCTTCCCAGAGTGCCCTGTCGCTTGGATGACGTGTCGGGGGTGGAAGGTCCGCGTTTCCTTCTTGTCTCCCACCTGGCGCTCAACTGTCACGGTCCAGTGCCTCTTCTCCTCATCCCAGGACGAAGAAATGAGCTCCGTCTTCGTCCACACGTTGAGTTCTAAGAGGCTGGCATACGACTCGAAGAAGTCTCCAAGCTTGTCCTTGGGCGTGTACACAGGCCAGTGGTCGGGGAAGTGCAGGTATGGAAGGTGGTCAGACCACACAGGGTCATGGAGGATGAGTCGTCGGTAGCGGTTCCTCCAGTTGTCACCCACGCGGTCTTCCCTGTCGATGACGAGCGTCTCGACCTTGAGCATCTTGAGGCGGGCAGCGGCACACAGACCAGCCTGGCCGGCGCCTGCAGAATAGCATTAGCACTCACCAACTCACCATCCTGTCGATTATGAACAAGGATAGTAATTAAGCATACCGATGATCAGCACAGCGGGGTCCTCCTTCTCGACATTCTCCTCGCTTTGCCGGTTCTCCTTCCACGTGGGATTCCCGCCCAGCCCGTCATACTCCTTACCATGTGGTCGCCGACTTCCGCGGGGCTCCTCCAGCCCCTTGAGCTCCTGCAGCACAGTGTACAAGGTGAGAATCTTCCACTGCCCGTCGACCCGCGTCAGGCGAAACACCCCCTGCCCCCTGCCGAGCCTGGTAGCGACGGTGACGAAGAACCGGACCACCTTGATGGTCTTGTCCACGTCCATGGTAGCCAGCTGGGGCGCGCGATGCGGCCGCGACCGATCAATCTCAACATGGCTGATGCGCCAGTCCGAGTCGGCGACGAAGCGGGAGATGCTGGCGCCGCCATTGACGGTGCGGTAGTCCCACGAGAGGCAGAGGTGGTCTCGCCAGTAGGATGAGTCGAGGAAAAGATTGGCGAGCGACTCGGTGTGCTTCTCGTTCAGGGCGCGGTTGAGCTTGTCGACGATTGAGATGGCTGCTTCGTCGGGGTTCACGGAGGAGGTGTCGAAGATGGCGGGGAAGGACGCGGCAGCGATGTTGACGGACCCCGTTTCCACTCTGTTGTCCTCGGGGAAGTCTGGCCCGTACGGAGATGACATTGTGGCTGTTTTCTACTGTCTATGCAAGGTAAGATCTATGAGAGAATCCAAGACACTATTTCAATTCAGACACCATCTGCTTATATAGCACTCCGCATTACTGGGCATCGCGAATTGGCAATCCCCCGACGCCGGACTCCAACTGCAAAGTGATGATCATGTGAGCTCCTGCGCTTCGGGTTTCCAGTCTGGGATGGGCCCTGCCGTCTAGATCTGTGGAAACAAAGTTAATCCTACATCCGCTCCCATTGGACGTATGGCGAGCGACAATGTGCGGGGGAGGAAATTCGGGCTGCCCGGAGTGTTTCCTCAATGCGGTGCCGAGCCAAAAGCGAATCGAAGTGCATCAGTTCCCCGCATATTGCATCTCGCTATTACAGGACCTTAACCTTGATGGGCGGTGGTCGGGGAACGATCGGAGGGGAAGCTGCATTGACTCGGGTCAAGTCTTCCCGGAGCCCCCACGCTGAGCTTGGAGAAGACGAATCAAGGGCGGGCTTGTTGGGCCTTGGCAGGTCGGAAGATTTCCCTTTTCTGATTTTGCCTACGAAGCTAGAGGGCTGCCTTTTGAGGCCAAGTGCTGTTTGCGCACGCCTTGGCTTTGTTCGGAAACACTTGGCATTATCTCGGGCGAACAACGCCTCACAAAGGGGTGCGCCTTTTCCTATTGCTTTTGATCCAATAATGACCGTTATTTAAATATAGAGCCGACTTTCGAAAATGTCTAGAAACACAAGGGTGAAAAACCAAGCCTATTAATGCTTACCTGGCGCTCAGAATGACATCAGAAACGAGATTAGACAATACAAGGCTGTTCGAATACTTGTTTTCAGTTGAAACTCGAGAGTTCTCAAACAGTGAATGATGTTTAGCCACATATGCTCCGTTCAGTTATCCGCAAGGTTCAAGTTGGTTGCTTCAGGTATAAGAAGGTGCTATTGCTCCCGAAGAACCAGACACTCTCCATGACCACTTCACCACCAACTCTCCACATCCAAAAGTGCCTGGGATTCCTTCAACTTCTTTTTCAAATTAAGAATCAACTCCTACGTGTGTCTCTCGAAAACCATGGTTACATTTACGTCTCCTTCCGGGCCAGTACCCGCCAAAAACTCATACCGGAAGGAGTTGGCAAGGTTGAGGCAATCCAAGCCCCTCAGCAAGGTACTCGTTCATGAGTGTGTCAAGAGTCTATTGCCACAAGAGCCGGTGTATATCGTGGCTGTACGGTATTGGTCTTCTCTTAATCAGAAAGACCAATCTTACCTCGCCAAGGCGTTAGGGTACGTTTGTCTTTTGCAAGTCCAGTCTCATTCATTCAGATCGATTTCTCGGCCAAGTTCCTCGCGTCATGAAGGAAGGCATAGCTAACTTGAAAGTAGGCCCGACGAGGACTTCTTGTATATCGATGAGCATCTCAATTTGGCCATGGAGCGAACAGAATCCGGTAGGATCGATTTCAATTTCGAGGAGTTGGTTTCTGTGGGCGTGCTTAAACCTCTGAATGCTCATACAGACTCGAATGACTCTATGAGCTCGAATGACTCTGCGAACTCGGACGACGCTGCGAACTCGGACGACTCTACTTCTGGTGATGCGGCTGTTAAAGAAGCGTCTGGAGAAATCCACTCCAACCTCTATTATCATCACCCTTTTCAGTTCCCCCCCGGACCTCCTTCTTTTCACTTTCACCCCGGACCTCCATCTTTTCAGTTTGCCCCCGGACCTCCTCCTTTGGGTACTAATCTTGCCCCTCCACCTATTTCTTGGGACGCTGCCCCTTCCCCTCCTTCAAGTAATTCAGACCTCCCTGAGGCAAGTCCGGACAAGGCGCCTGCTGGCGGAAACTTTTTTGGACAAAAGAAGCAGGCGGCTCTTTGGAAGTCAAGTTCTAGCGTTAGTGCTGAAAACCCCGGTAAGACGGAAACTGTCGCATCCTGACGCAGTTCCCCTGGCACGGGGTTTCAACCATCCGGAACGAGTCTGGCAAACCAACCGCCCTCCATATCTTCGTCCGAAAAGCCTGCAGAGGGCTGGATGTGTGGTAGCCAAAGCTTTGATTCTGGAGTTTCCTATCCATAAGAACGGAGGAAGAGGTATCGGCGGGAAGCGACAAGTCTGTCATTATGGCAGGAGATCAATGTCCGGCACTTTGGGATTTGGATAGCACCGGGAAGTCTCAAGACTGAGCACAATCTGACGAAAGCTTTGTTCATTTTCTGTTTGATACGTGTATAATTTTTCAGGGAAGATAGATAAAGTGACACTATTGCGAGTGGAGAGCATAGTTTTAAGGTGATCTTATTAAATGAACACCATGATTACCCCAAGTGAGCTTGAAATGGAGAATATGCGCAGTAAATTAGTCTGCTATTGGTCAAACATTAAGCCATGGACCTTCCTTTTCGTGACATGTGATCCCACGGCTAAGTGTCGTCCCCAAACCGGACTATATCGTAATATGAAAAAGTAGAGCTGGGAAGGAAGAATAAAAATAATACTCAATATCTGAGAAAACTCGTATCTAGCGATCATGTCGCCTTTTGTGGTCCCCATCGCCTTAGACTGGCCCTCTATCTCTTCCAAGTGTTACCGAAGCTCGCTTCGAAACTTGCACTTACAGAACTTTACATCCGACAGACGTTCTCATGACATAAATTCAGAATAGGCGGGAATTCGCTGAACATGCCCTCCACTGTGCTCGTCAAATCGCAGTCTTCAAAATTTGATGTTCGGAAGAGAGTTGTCAGATCCTCGCTATTGATATAAGTGTCGATCCAAGGGAAGTCCGGGTCCCACTGGAGTCCTCTATCTGGCATATTCCCAGGAAGTATCTGCGCTGCCGTCTCGTTGCACTGTGGCATACTGTTACCAAGTTCCGTGTATGACGGAGGCTCTGGCCGCGCGACTGGGTCCTGAGGCTGGGCTGTAGCCATCGTGTTTGCGCGTACACCAACAAGCCATTTTATGGTGGCTGCGGCTAGATTGTTCAGGGAGTCCCGGCATCGGCTCGCGTCGCTCCAGTATTCCCCCGAAGCACTCAGCAGGCTTATGGCCGTCATCATGGTCTGTGTGAGATCGCTAATTTCCGTACTGACGGCCAAATCCCGGACCATCCAGATGCAATAGAGCACGGTGATAGCGCTCAGGCAAATGGAGTGGACGCTAGACCAGGAGTATGATATCCTGTTCGAATCGGCTAGATTCTTCCATAGATTTATCGTGGCTTCAGCGCTGGTGAAGCACTGGTATAAAGAGGCCTGGCCCGGATGACGAAGTCGAGGAGTGGGACGGAACAGCAGCATGACGACCTCGTGGTAACGTATCTCGCAGAGCAACCACAGATATTTGTGCTCGCTTTGAAGATCCGAAAACTCTTCATGCACGGACAAGAGGCGTGTGTACAATCCGCTTTTCCAAGTGTCTATATCGGGAACCTGTGGATACGTGTACTCCGGCGCTGCTGCCTTGCTGTGCAAGACGTATATTATCTCCGAGTTGAAGAGGGCGAGTTTGAAATGCACCAGCGAGCAAGAGGACGAACTCATGTCGATGTTAGGTGATGGCTCCGGGAATTGACCGTTTGTTCGCAGAAGCTCAAGCTGTTGGTCGTCTAGAAGGTCCGGCATCTGAGAAGCGGCATCAGCGTGAAGTTCTCCAAGCAACAATTCCATGGGTTTTACCTTCAGGTCGCATGCCTCATCTCCGAATCCTATGGGCCGTCCAAGGGTGCTCGCAAGTATTCGATCTACTGAGTAGGCTACCCAGAATATGCGCCTTCGCATTTCGCCACCATAACGATCCACGGACTGCGTTGAGACGATGTCATGGTGGAAGCCGAGATCCACGATGGCAGCTAGGCACTGGTAGTTGAGATACCACGGGTTGAAACCGAGCACCGGACTATGCAGCGTAAACAGGTAGATGAGGAGCAGGCATTGAACGCCTTCGGCAGAGTTCTGAAAGTCAACTTGATCCGCATACTCCATTGCCGTAGCACACATGCCTTCACCATTGAACGGTTTTCTAAGCCGTCTCGACATGATAATAGCAGATATAGCTAGCACCATGGTTACTTGAAACCTCAGATCTATTGGCGCTTGAGGATTTCGATACACCTCGGCGATTCTGCGCATGTGGGTTGGTTCATGCAGAAAGGGATACCTCGGATGAACGTGTTCGAAGAATATCTGCGACAACTCTAACGCCTCTTGTTCAGATGCTGGTAGCGGGGCAGGCTTAAGCATGAGAAAGGAACGGCTTCCCAAGTCTCCCTCAGTGTCTTCGAGCGCAGATGCCCTAAGGCGGTCGCCGCTGGCCTGATCTGCCCGAGCGAAGACCAGCCGTGCGATGGAGAACCCGCTGGACGGACCGATGTACTTGGAGACGCCGGCAGAAACACTAATCATACCCAGCTCGTGCGCGATGTCTCCGGGCCGGTACGGCTGTTCCGCCGATCCATCCTGTGACGGCGTAGAACTCAGTGGGAGCAAGCCCTCCTGTGTATGCGACTGGATAGAGCCCGTGATTCCAGACTCGACCGGAGGACTGAAGTTAGGAGCCCTCCGCGGATACCTTGCACTCGTTGCGGGTTCTTGGTCTGGGGCCAGGCGCTCCGTATCACGGGCTTCTGTTCCAACTAGTTGTCTAAGGCGTTCGTTTTCTTTCTGTAACGCAATTATCATGCTAGAAATATTTGTCCGGTGAGTTCATAGGTTCTTCGAAGAGAAAGAGGTAAAACCTAGAGTCAGGGCCTGGTTTCTGGTAGCAGCAACTCACCTCTTTGTGATACCAGGGGCTGTCGAGCACGATCTGCCACTGGAGCAATCTACGGATGCCTTCTCACATGCCGAGCATCTTGGTATTCCTCCATCACACTTTGCACAGTATTAGGAGGAAGTCACTGCGCAGGCAAGGGTGGTGTTCTCAGCCAAATTCTTACCTTGATCTTCCTCGACTGACAACGACGGCAGGCCAGTCTTTTCCGACTTCCGCGGGACGGTCTGAGGTAAGCCGCCGCGGCCTGACCAGTTCCAGGTTCCATTGAAGACTCAGCGCGGATCTCTGATCTGATCGTGATGGAGTTGCTTCGAGGACGTGCGACAATGCCTTGGCTCTCACGAATGATATTCAGAGCGTTGTACGCGGGCTGTCCTCCGAGATCGGGATAGGACTTCCGCTAGATAGAGTATGGTCGGAACTCCACGTCCGAGATCCACTGAGAGCTGACGGGCAGAAGATTTCTTATATAAACCCCCTCTGGTATCTCAGTTGGCCTAGACTCCCCCTCTATAAAGTATTTTTAAAATATATAAATAAGTTGTTTTTATTTTTATGATTTATAATTATTAGATATTCTTTTTAAATATATAATTTCAAAATTATTATATATTGATTAAATAATAAAAGCATTCAGGCATCATGTCGCAAGGCTCTAAGTCCTTCCAAACAGAGCTAAAAGCCCGAGAGGAGGGAAGTTTACATTGTGTATCAGACAACCCGAGAACCTCTTCCAAGCCATAGAGGCGAGCTGCAGCGTAGTTGTTCCTGTTTCCTAGTGTCAAAAATGGCATCGAAGCGGGAGTAACAGCGATGGCGCCAAAGACTGAGCGATCAATGTAATTCATCAAGTACGTCCAGGTGATGATAGGCATGATCAACAGGTCAATCTTCCGCCTCGATCTCTTCTCTGCTAGCCTTCGGTCCACCTCGGCGGTAGAAGTGATATTCTCGCTGCCATCAGCAAGGTTAGAAACAGCATGCTCGCTCTGCGAGGTAACCTCGATAGATTCGGCTTTTGCGTTGGTAGACGTCATGTTGGGCCATACGAAACAAGGAGATGTCTCAAGTTAAGAGCGGTATTGGCAAGTTTAAGGGGGCTTCCTCATCTTCTTTAATACTTTTACCAGAGTTAAGGAAAACGGGGAAAGGGACAAAGGGTCTCCAGCCTCATAGCTAGCTGGGGAACCTGGTCGCAATATATTTGCGCCAGCCTCTGATATCTTGCTAGTGGAGTGTATGGGGTTTCTGGCGTAGACATAAGCTCCGCGTCGGAAGTGGATTGTCCCCAACTTCTCCACGTTAATAAGAACGAAGTGTTAGTTGACGTCGTCGTAGATAAGTGTGTCGAGGGGTGTGAAGGTGTTCGTGCCCTCCAGTGGTCGAAACGATCCGACTATCAAGCTCCCTGCGCGGATCCGAGAGATCGGCCACGGACTTCCGGTGCGAGCGGAACTGAAAGTTTTAGCGCGCGGAGGTGCAATCCGTCAGCAGACGCGAAGTTTAGACGGGCCAAGTTCCGTTCATACCTTGGGCACGGAGTTGCAGGAACCACTGTCAGCTCGGCACGGGGGGAAATAGGGCCACACCAGTCACTAAAGGGTTCCAGGGCCCTGCCTATTTCCACGAGACCATCGGGGATCGTTTAAGAAGCCATGGAAAGAGGTGGCAACACCCAAGGTTACGATGTGCTGATCTGAACCGCATGTTGATGTGCCAACTTCTTTCGCTTGTGCTGAAAGATCTTTGTTTGCAGTCGGCAAAGGGGCCTTATTCGCTGCCACTTCTCTAGCCCGTTCGTAAGCAAATACACCGTTAACATGTCTCTCATCACACACATCGGTGAGGACGAAATCGCCCGGTCAGCTGAAAAGGAGTTTCCCCTTTGACAGTTCCCCCGCACAGAGGCTGACCATTTACAGGACGGGCGTCGATGAGGGAACGTTGCGACGTATCGCGGCTAAACACAACATCGAGATCCCAGTATATGATATACCGGGTTACCTGGCCTTGTTGCGCTCGGCGGACCTGACGACCTCTGCCGTTGACGATTTGCCTGACTTTATAGACAGCAGATTGACGCCGCTGCCCACACAGGGCGGTGTCCGAAGGTTTCGCAAGTCCGCTGAGAATTGCTTGAACGCCTGGAGCCACGGGACCGACTTGGTCGCGGAGACGCCCTCATCGAGCCTTCTTAGGGGTCGCAGCGTTGTGGTAAAGGACAACATCTCGGTCGGCGGTGTTCCGTTCACCTGCGGCACGTTTCCCCAGCTCAATTCCGGCAGGCAGGAGCATCCTCCATCAGCAATCGATGCCTCTGTGGTTAGGCGCCTGCTCGATTCCGGCGCCAGGATCATCGGAACGGCAACGTGCGAAAACTACTCGCTGTCGACTCTGTCCTACAGCTCGGCCTCGGGTCCAGTTCACAATCCCTGGCAACGAAGTTTTAATGCCGGGGGCAGCAGCAGCGGTCCCGCGAGTCTGCTTGGCCTTAGACTGGCTCGGGCCGCGGGTGTGCAGGGCCTGGAAGATGCTGGTGCCGACGTCGATCTAGCCATCGGGGGGGATCAGGCAGGGTCCATCCGGATCCCAGCCTCATACTGCGGCTTGTACGGCCTGAAGCCAACCCATGGTCTCGTACCATATACAGGCATCGCAGGACTGCACCCGATGATTGACCACGTGGGGCCCATGGCCCTAAAGCTGGACGACATCGCAGCGCTCCTCGAGGCACTCGCCGGGGACGACGGCATGGACGGCCGCATGACGCCGAACACCCCGCTACGGGACAATGTAACGCCCTACCTCAGCGAGCTACGGGCCTTTTCCGCCGCAGGAGCCGGCACGGGTCGGCCGCTCCGGGTTGGAGTGATCGTCGAGTCTCTCGCCGCCCCGCAGGCGACGGAGGAAGTGGCCAGAGTCGTCCGGCGAGCTGTCTATCAGCACTTCAGCGCGGCCGGGGCCATGGTGGCCGATGTATCGATGCCTCTGCACCTGCTGGGGCCGTCTATATGGACGGCCTCGTGCAGGAACAACATGGGCTTTCTCGGCATTGGAGCCCGGGTACCAGATATGCTGACGCATAACCTACCACACTGGACACCGAGGTGGCCGCCCGACCAAGAGATGTTCGACCTGCTCACGCGGAGCAACCCAGCTGTGATGAGTGTCATTTTCGGAGAGACGTTTCTAGGGGAGAAGTTCGGCCCGGCAGTGCAAGCCAAAGCCCACCGCCACGTCTTCCAACTTCGAGAGGCGTACGATGAACTGTTGGCGAAGTTCGACGTGCTCATCACCCCGACGACACCGGACGTCGCTCCGCCACACCCGGACATGAGGGCAGTCCAAGACGGGGGCTGGACGGTCCTCGACAAGGCGGAGCTAGGACTCGGGGTATCCAGCAACACCTGTGCCTTTAACGCCACAGGGCATCCGGCGCTGAGCGTGCCCTGCGGGTGGGCAACCGCTCGGGACGGGTTCACCAAGCTCCCCGTCGGCATGCAGATCATAGGAAGGCGCTGGGACGACCTCGGGGTTCTGAAAGCTGCCAGAGTTTTCGAAACGGGCGGTGGCGGATTGGGACCCCGTCCTGGAGTTGGAGTTCCGAGATTTGTGCTTTAATGCTTGAACTAGGATTTTGCTATCGAACCACCATGCCCGGCTAATTAACCACCTCTGCGCATACTAAGAGTCGTTTTTACTCAGTAATGAAGAAGAAAATAAATTTTGCAAAAATCTCAATCCTTGAACTAAGGTAGTAGGCAGTGGCACGCGTAGGCGCTCTTTCGTGCGGACCCTGAGTTCCGTTGGGCGCTAAGTTTTGGCAGACGCCTGCAAGTCAGCTGAGTAGGAACAGTTACCAGCTGTTAGGTACTGTAGAAATGTGCCTGACTGTCCTCCCTCCCCTTCCACTTTATCCGTGTAGAGGCAAGAAGGGGAGAACACAGGCTGGAAATTAGCAAACACATGCTGTTCCGCCCCAATCCACCTCGGCCACAGCCTCCCAGGGTACTACACGTCCGTCAAGAACAGCTATGACGGCGCCTGACTCTACCGCTCTGAAACGGGCTGCCAAGATCCGAGAATCGAGAATGCGGGTAGTTCGTGGCCGCCGGCCAATCGTCAGTGCCTATAAGTCTCATCGGCATTGCTCCAGCGCCCGTTCGCTGACACATTGTACGAACCGCGCAGGGCCACCCAAGATATTCACGTGGGGGTCAGTCTCTCAATATCGATCATGTCGGATACGAGTGTCGTCGCTGCGCCGCCCAAGGCGCCGCCGCCATTGGCACGCTATGCCAGATCGACGACTCACCAAGGCTTGAACTTCTGCAGCGGCATCGCTGCCATAAGCGACGTCCAGTCCTCCGATAACCATGCAACTGCGTTTGTAAAGAGATCTCGATACGTCTTGGATAGCCTCCGATCGGTTCTCGAGGAGGTTGGGAGCGGCTTGGATCGCGTCCTGAAAGTGAACGTCTATTTAACCAGCATGGAGGACTATGCCGACTTCAATGAAGTCTGGGACGAGTATTTCACTCAAGATCAAAAGCCAGTCAGTACATACTCCAAATGAGAGTCCTAGTCATGCTTCGTTCGGATTGTACTGAATAGGATATGTATTTGCAGGCTCGGACTTGCGTCGTAGTCCACCAACTCCCCCGAGGTGCGGACGTGGAGATTGAGGCCACAGCTTTCACGGCATAGGCAGACTTCCGCAGAGGAAGAACTCTGTGATCTGAATGATGCCAGAATTGACCAGCTCTTAGGATTCTGTTCATGTCACACATTCAAATGTCTCTCTAAAGCTCAAAGCTTAACGTAGCACCCATACACATAACAAGTCTTGTCTACCCGCGTATACAACATGCTGTCATAGTTCTCTTGTTTTTATAATTGCTGTACTCGTCATGTCTTCCCTCTTCCATTCAGCTCTCGTTTTCACGATGCGATGACCCTAAGCGGCGATTAAGGTCATCAAGCTTCGGGAGTACGTTGCCATCCAAGTCCATTGCCGCAGCAATTCCACTGAGCCAATAACCTCTTACTTCCGAAGAAGAGGAATCCCGCCTCAAAGTCACCCCAATCTCTGAGGGCCGCCCCATGGCCTCGCCCTGCCTGATCGTCAAGGTCCTCGTCTCGTGCTGCGCTACCACGCCTTTTTCCAGCAAGCCGCACACCAGGGCTGTGGCCGCGATGCCGGTCGCCGGATCCTCCAGGTAGCCGGAAGACTTGGGGAACTGGCGAGCGCTGAAGGTGTTCTCGTCGATCGTGACGTAAGGGTAGAGACCGGTTGATCCAATAGCCTCGCAGACGCTCCGGACTGAGGTCGCGGTCGGGCGTAAGCTATGCAGAGCATCGAGGCTCTTCAAGGGGACGAGGGTCTTGGTGCGAGAAGTCGCGGCGTTTTGAATCTCCTTGAGCGCAACGATGTTCTCAACGGAGGCTGAGAGGGCCTCCGCAACAAGCTCACCATCTGCCAGCGACAAAGACTCCGCTGATCCTCGAGGCTGGGATACACGGACTTGACCTGCCCAGGATGACCCTTCGCTGCTCGCCTCTGGCTGCGGCAGCAGCGCCTCGAACACTCCAGCCTTCGTGGTGACGGAGACGCGACGGGCATCGGGGAATTTGCCCAGCCCCTCAATCAGCCACAGCGCGCCGATCGTTGCGTGGCCGCACATCTCCATCTCGTGCCCGGGGACCCAGAATTGTAGGGAGACGTCGTAGCATGCTGGACCCGAGGCGTTGTTGGTGCGCAGCGTGGGACCCTCCACCACGAAGCCGCACTCGTGCACGCAAGCCCGCGCCAGCTCCTGCATCTCGGCGTGAGTCAAGTGGTGCGCATCTAGGAAGATGGTCGTAGGGTTGCCGCCTTTCTCGAGTGCCCGGGGGTCCGGGAAGACGTTGACGCGATGCGCGGACACAGCCATGGCTGGTAGTAAAATGTGTGCAAGGGGAGCAGGACTGCGGGAACGGATGAGTGGTGTCTGCAGCACTGAAGAATTTCCGCACTGTTGTCTTTTTATCTTGTCGCCTTCTTATTCGTTTTGGTGGGATCTTAACAAAGGCTTGGGATGAAAGAGCTGTCAGTTTGCACTTAAAAAGGCACAAGACGCTGATTCATCAGCTCTCAGTCAGCGCAGAATGACAGGCTGCAACGAGGCACTCTGTGAATTCACCGGAACACCTCTCCGTCTCTGGCTATTACAAAAAAGACTATCGCCGATAGTTGCGGACCGTTTCTCTAATGTTCCGGCCTTGAATGCGCATCGGACGTGAGGACGGAAGTCTCTTCCGCAACTATTGACTCGGCCGCCGCAGCCAAGCTACGCCGTGACAACGAAAAGTCAGTAAGATGAGGGGGCAGCACAGAGCAGCATTCAAGCACTAGGTCAATTCATTAACTGTCGTTCAACATATCATCTGCTTTCGAGTACATACAAACTCCACCCCCCTTTCTTACATGTCACAACTTATTATTTATTCTTTATTATATCTACTAACTTAATATTTTTTAATTATTATAGTTAAAAAATTAAATAGTAATTAATAACTCTATAAGTCGAGTAACTATTATCTTACCTTATAAATATTATAGATAGTATAACTTCCTAGGAAGTTTAGTAGAGTAATATAAAAACAGATCTTATAATATAAAACTAGTATACCAGGGTTTGAAATTAGTATTCTGCTGAGTCCGTACTGTATTTAGCAGTCGGCATTTAGAAAGCGGTGTATACATGACTGCTGTATAATTTTGTGCTACAACTGCAACAGAAATACCTTAAAGTCGGGCACATCGAGGACCTGCAAGTTCACTCAACCCACAGCGTTGTTAATACTTCAGATATATGACCTTGTATTTTCACGAGTAATTGGCAGGGGCGGCTTAAATTGAATGAGAGGCAAAGTGATAGTGAGCATTGACCAAGTAAGCGGACAATCGAAGCCCTTTCATTCGCTATCATGGTCAAGCATTGTAATTTAGTCTTGTAAAAGGCCTTTCTCTCAAATCTAATCAAAATTTGTGATAACTTAAAAGGGAAGCTTCATTCTAATGCACACAGACCTTTGTTAGACCTCCCAATTAGCACTACGAAGTCGATCGAGACGGGTCAAATTTAGAAGTCGACGTACGATGATGGCTAAACAAGGTGGATAACAGGCGTGACCCTTGTTCTGAATCCTCCGGCGAACGGGATGCCGCACGGTATGGCCGAGACCTCCTTACCAAATGCAGATTCGCCCAATGCAGACATTCCCAAGTACTAGACAACTAGTCCTGTTAGTCTACCGAATTTGAGTGGAAGGGAGACGCTGCTTTCAGCATAAGCAGCTGCTATAAGCTCGCCGCCCGCCTAGCTTCTCATTTATTTCATCCAGCAGAGCTTAACGAAGCATATGCATGCTGTTTGTCTCATAGAATGTCGGAAAATGGCTGCCTAGCAGAAAATTTTCTGGTGTCTCAACCTCTCCCCGCACTCTGTGTAAGTAATTTACGCTGAGACAGGGTCCTGGCAGCATCATCTTACTGAAGCACGCGACCAAATGCGGTACAATGGAGAGGCTCTCCAAGGAATTGGTCCGTTTTTCAAGCACGCCACCGAGCCTATCGTCCTAGTCCGCGCCCGATGTTTATTTCTGGCTCAAGTCGGGGCCGTTTGGCTTCGATATCGATGAATGCGTTATCTAGACGGGCGACGCAAAAAAGGGATGGCTCGTCTGCTTCCAAGCATGGTTCCATGAGGTGGATACATGCCGAACTTCTCTTTTGGTCCCCCAGAGCCAATGAGATCAAAGGGATATTTATATTTGGTGTATTCGTAAGACGATCTGTGTAGATCTCACTCCCGGTCCTGGGGCGCTATTCCAAACCAGCGATCCTGCAGCCTGCCGTGAGCCGGAAATATGGCACGCACGGCAATCACGGCATCACGCAATTCATCCTCCAGATGAGTTCAACTCCAGAGTCAGAGCACAATGATAGCAGTCAAGGGAATGTGAGGAAAACCTTATATAGAGGTATGCGATCGGCATGATGAAGAAGGTTCAATTAAGCATTATTCTTACGAGTTTACAGCCGTTTTCTTTTCCTTTTTTTCTTTTCCAGCGAGATCAGCGCCTGAAATTAGTTGTCTAATTTTTAAAACATTATCTTACACGGACCATCTCTGACGTCGTCGGATATGGCAGAGAAGACTGCACGGCATTCGGCCAGTGACTCGGCCGAGGCGACTTATGAGACTGACGGAGGAAGACCCTCAGTAGAGGGGGCCAAGGATGATGTTGGAAACTTGACATTCGACCAATACACTGAGGGTGGTCTCGGTCGTCACCTTGGTATTTTCAGTACATCTTCTCTAATGTATGATTGCCACATGACTTGGGTTTTTATGTCACAGAACTAATCATGGAGGGTCTGCAGCATCGGACGTATTATTGGTACAGGTATCTTTTCGACACCTTCATCAATTGTACAGGGAGTCGGCAGCGTGGGAGCTGCGTTGATGCTATGGGTACTGGGACTTTTACTAGCCATGGCAGGACTCTGCGTCTGGCTAGAGTTCGCCTGCATGATTCCCCGAAGTGGTGGTGAAAAAGTATATCTTGAAGCTGCGTACAAGAAGCCGCATATGCTCATCACCACGGTATTTGCCGTCCAAGCTATTGCTCTTGGATTTACAGGTAGGCATATTCATGACCCTCAATTCGTTCAAAGCGATCCGATCATTAACTTGAACAATTGATAGCCTCCGGATGTATCGTTTTCGCATCCAACGTCATCAATGCAGCCGGCCACACTGCAACTGAATGGCAACAACGCGGTATTGCGATCGGTGTCATCACCTTCATTACAATCATCCACACTTTCTTCCCGAAGATCGGTGTTCATGGCATGAACTTCTTTACAGTGCTCAAGATCGCTCTACTCTTGTTCATCGTCGTCACAGGATGGGTCGTGCTTGGTGGTGGTGTCGCCGCCGTTCCCGACCCCCATGCCAGCTTTCGCAACGCATTCGAGGGCTCAGCAACCTCTGGGAATCCCTATGCCACAGCACTGTTCAAGGTTCTGAATTCTTTTGCTGGGTAAGTGATCGATGAATGGTTGGTCAGATCAATGCTGGGCAGTTTCTAATTTTGGATAGCTGGTCCAACGCCATGTACGTCCTGAACGAGGTCAAGAACCCAGTGCGGACCATCAAGATTGCCGGACCTGTCGGTCTCACCACCTGTGGCGTTTTATATCTCATGGCAAACGTCGCATACTTTGCAGCAGCTACTCCCAGCGAAATCGCCCATAGTGGCACAACTGTTGCTGCATACTTTATGGACAAGGTCTTTGGGAAATCAGCCAAGACCGCAATGAGGTTTGTGGATCTTCAGCCATCTTGCCTTGGACGTAAAGAAGGAAGCTAACCTGAACAGCGTGCTCGTTGCACTCTCTGCCTTCGGAAATGTGTTGACAGTCACATTCTCCCAATCCCGAGTAAATGCGGAGTTGGCAAAGGAAGGAGTCATTCCATTTTCTCGGTTCTGGGCGTCATCCTGGCCATTCGGCTCTCCTTCATCCGGCCTTCTCCTCCACTATATCCCGTCCTTCATCGTGATCGTGGCTATCCCCTTCGGAAACGCGTACAACTTCATTCTCGACTTGGAGGGGTACCCAGGTGCCGTCATCAACTTCCTCGTTGTCCTGGGTCTATTCTACCTGCGCTGGAAGGAACCGAACACGAACAGGCCATTCAAGGTGTGGCTGCCGGTTGCCGCATTCTACATGGCAGGCCAGGCCTTCCAGCTCATCGCTCCTTTCCTGCGTCCACCCAACGGTGTGGGAGACACACCCCCACTTCCTTATTGGCTGTACTGTGTTGTTGGTATCGCTGTTCTCCTCGCCTCCGTGGTGTTCTGGTTCGTCTGGTGGGTGGCCGCACCCAAGATTGGGAAGTACACGATGGAGCCTGGAAACGAGCCACTGGCGGATGGTACAAACGTTGTCGTTTATCGCCGAGTTCCAAAGACATTCAGGGACGAGTAGGTGTGGTAAGATTGATAGTATATATACCTATTTTTTTAATAAAAGAATAGCACGGACTATACCGCACAGTGAGTCCATTCTCACAAATGTGCTACTTCGCTTTTGGATCAAAGGCCATCGTGAAATTCTGTTGCATATCACACCTGGTTTCTTAACCTGGGCTCATTAATCCCTTCCCGTGGCGCCGTGGTCATGTTCCCTTCAGCAGAGATAGATGCTGGGTGTGTTGTCGTTAGCTCGTCATATGAGGCCGCTTACATGATTTCAACAACGGTGTTGAGACTGAAATTAGAATGGAGGCGAAGGCGGCACCCATAACTAGACTGCCACCAGAACTATTGAAACACGGAATGGAAATGTTAAACCCACTGATCTCTTCATCAGGGTTATCGCCAAGTTGAGGGTTCTTATTATCACTTCTCACTGAACTCGATGACAAATCCTCGTTGCCTCCGTCTCTAGGGTAGGCTGAACGCGTAAGGTAGAAGAAGCCGGCAATTATCTTGTCGCAGCTTCGTGATGCTGTAAATTTATGGTAGTGCTTCATTAATATATCTTGGTAGAATAGCCTCAAGTGATAGGCCATAAATCTATTCTTGATTGATGTACATATGATTGATAACGGCAAAGAATGACTGGTCAACTAGGAAAGATATTCACGAGGGAACGAGTGATGAAGTGCTCTTGGTGTCGCTATCCGCGCTCAAACGGCGGTGCCGTGAGCCTGATCCTCAAACACCAGCTCGGCGAGTGGCGATGTTGATTTGCAGGCTTCTGGCACCAGCCCTGCGCCATAATTGGCCTGGACGCTGGAGAAAGAAACCTCACCCGGGAAAAGGAAGCAATATGGGTATCAGTTACACAATGGAAAAATCGCCGTGATCCTACACGTCCTTTCTCAGAATCCGAGGACCTCTGAGATACTCCCTATTTTCTCTCCTTCCCTAGAGGACCCGCCGAAGACAAAGGGCGCGAGTAAATCCATGCCAGGATCCTGAGTGTCGAGGCGTGCAGTCGCGCTGTCGGGTGATGGCGTTTCCAGGATGGGAGACGAGGTATTGTGATCGGATTGCGCCGGATTGCGCGCCAAATACGCCGACAACAGGGCGCCGTTCAGGTCGGGGACGCTGCCATACGACGAGAGCGTAGGACGGCTGATTTTTCGGTAGTGTCTTCGGGCACTCGGTGCTCCCGTCTTCAAGCGCGGGTTCGGTGCTTGTGCTGACGATATTCTCTTGCTCGCCGATCTGAATAGCTTTGGGAGACCGAAGGCAGAGCGGCGGACTGACGTTTGCCGGGCGGGCGGCGGCGCTGGGGGGTTTATCGGCTTGTGCTTCGCATGCTCGAAGAGGTCGATGCCGTGGGACACCGCGACGTTGCTCTCGACGGTGTTGTTGAGGTCCTGCAGCAGCTCGTAGACTTGGTCGTCGTCGAGGTCATCCACCAGCTCGAGGAGCTGGTCCTCGAAGGAGGTGGAATGGCGACGTGATAGGCGGTGACTCATGCTGACGGGCTGTTGCGCCAGACCAGCCAGCCATCCGCAAGATACAGGCGAGAGGCGTCGAGACGAGGAGGGCTTGGACGAGTCAAAACGCTCGCTAATGAAGTGGAATTCGATAGTGAAGGTGGTGGATCACCTGACTGTCGCCCCTTACCCCTGGCTAGGCCTTACTGGGTAGCTACCTAACCCAGGGGGGCGAGGGATCAGCAGTGGTTTGAGGTCGCAATTTAAGTAGGATCAGAATAATTAAAGAAAGACGCCAATTTCTTGGCTGTTCGGTGCTGACTGTGCCTTCGGATGACGTTAGGTGGACGATTGGGAGCGAAATATCCAACGATTATCACCTCCGTCCTATCACTCTATCAAAACATCATAGCATTTACTCTCATCCCACAATTCGCCATGCATCACTCTAGGGATGTATATTTCCCCAATAATCCTCCAATTTGCGTTTGCATTGGCACGCCTGAGCACGACTGGTGTGCGTACCCCTTGGAGTAAGAATATCTTATCCTCAGGCTGAATTGAGCCGGTGGCAAGTCCAATATATCCTTCCGAGGTAGATATTGCTCGGAACCCGTAGATGTGAGCATGTCTTCCCATTATTTTCAAGCATTCTGTTTGACTGCTCCCAAACGCGGACCGCAGCGTGATCTCTAAAACCCGCGACCAGACATAGGCTGAAAGTCCCGACCAAAGCCCGGGCTTCTTGACCAACAAAGAGAATTTTCTCTGAAGGAGTTCATCCAGATCTTTGACCTTTTTTAGGTTATGGTTCAGGACAGCCTCGTCCTCCGCATTGGTCTCTGGCATCAGCATGGACCAGTAAAAAGCCTCTGTAGTTGTCATACTGGTATCCATGTATGGACGTTCAATGTCCGCCCCAGCAATCGACCTGGAGTGGAAATAAGTCAGAACCGATTTATATATGAACATATCGTCTCCTAATGGATCATCCTCTGGCGGGATTGCAGGACCCGCTCTGGTAACGGTTCCAAACGAGTATCCTGCCAGCTGCAATACCCTATCATTCTCAACAAACGCAATCTTGGACGATGAGTCCATCGTCGCTCGTAGGTTTTCCTTTTCCCGAAGCTCCCAACCTGCATAAAAGTGATCGTACTCGGAGTAAGGATGCCACGACCAGCTGGGAAGTTTTCTTGACAGATTCTTGCTACCCATGAGAATAATGTTTGCGTCCTCTGTGTTTTCCAGCGTGATCTTTGTCACTTTCTGAAACACTTCCAGGGGATCTGCAGAATAGTGCGCCTCGATCTTCTTTGATAAAGCAGAGTCTGGGTCCAAAAGTCCCAAGATCCCGTAAATTTAATCTCTCTCGTCTGTTGCCCGGGCACCCATGGCATCTGATACGAGACCGGCCAATGACTGGTAGTTAGCGTCCCGAAATGCCTGTGCATGGAAAATGATGTTTGAGAAGTTGCTATCCCATCCCGCGTCTGAGACTGTATGAGCTCGGACGATAGTTTCCCAATTGGTAGAGTATTTCCCACAGATGACAGTGATCTCCTTTGAGACTGCTGCTTCTTGTATGACCCAGACTCGATGCATCCAATCCATTTTCTTAAAATTGGCTATGTCATTTTGGCCTAGGATATCAGTAATGAATTCGGCAATAGGAACCAAGGGACGAGGCCATCGTGGGATATTAAGGCGGTTGTGATTGATTCTTCTCCACTGATATGAAGGTATTCGTGCCTCAGCATCCTCCATGTAGCATCTTTCTAAAGTTTCAAACATTTGGAAAATCCGCTTTGTTCGTCGATCGTGTTCTCCCAGCCATATAAGCGTACGGCTCCCTTTCTGAAAGATTTGACGCATCAATGGTATTTGCACGCTCTTCTCTGCAGTGTTGCTTTGATCAATGCAGAGCACGTCACACCAGAGAACCCGAGCCGAATCCTTGTAGCGTAGTCGCTTCAACGCCGCATAGAGGTTGCGCCCAATGGAAAATGGCAAGCCATCTAGCACGATCACTTGCTGGTTTTTCTGGGAGCCCCAGCAGTACGAAATGGGTTCATACTGAGGATAGGCGGAGCTCTCCAATCGGACTGCGAAGATCTCACCGCTGAGCTTCCCGGTACCAGGATGCAGCTTGAGGAGCCGGATCTGGGACCGGGCGTCATCCAGCCGCTGGTGTCTGTAAGTCTGCATTCTCCGACCCTTTTAAAGGCTGTGGAGATGTGTGAATGGTGGAGGAAGAATCATCCATCAACCTCATTGAAGATGTTAAGGGGAAGAATTAAGGCACCAGAGTCGCACGCAGCGCAAAATAACCAACAAGTCGCGGACCCTTGCCAATTTGCTCATTATTACCAGCCCACAATTTTTGCATGCAACACCCCATAATTTCTTCCATCCAAAGTACTTTGTATCTTGAATTTAATGTTGGTAGTGATTGAAAGTCGAATTGCCGGAGGTTTCTGCTTACTCCAGCTACATTCGTCTACTCCAACCTTACTCGCCGCCAGGTGACCCTATCTACTTGCGGATCCTAGGTTCTAGGACAATATGTGGAAGAGGAAACACAAGGGTTCCGAAGCTTAAGGGAATCAGTATGCCCCCAGTTATGTTCACGCATTGAGTAGATGACTGGCATTTTTATAATCCTTTGTCTGCGGCCATGTTGAAGTACGATGTATACCTATTTCCCTTTCCATGAAGCTTCCATGACCTCTCGCGTTGTTGTAATGCGGATATCTGGAAACTTTTCGTTGAGCGTATCATCGCTCGGCACACTGAACTGTCCTAGCCCGGCCAGGTAATGGAGCAGAGCGAAGAATGCCTCGTCGTCGGGAAAGCCAATCGGGGGGAATCTAGACGCGAATGAGATCTTTCCGCCCTTGAGAGCATCTAGATCGTCGTAGGCAACTTCGAACTTGCCTGGGTTTCCAAGTTAGTCTTTGTAAACAATCTTGGCAGAACGCCGCAACTACTATTTTTAATAACCTACCTCGAACTTCCTCTGCCAACTGGAGGAGATCCTTGAACGACAGTGTCTCGCCAAAAATTAATGTTACTTTTGACCATTTCTCCAAATCCATCATGCGCGCGAGGAATTTGGCCATGTCCTGCGTGGTGATGAAAGTGGCCTTCGCAGAGCCATCGCCGGGAATGACAGCCCACTTTTGCTCCATGTTCAATACGTTGATCCATGGATGGAGCGTTGTTTTCCAATGCGGCATCCCGAAATAATCGAGGAACCAGCCGTTGGCAATTCGAGTGTACTCGAGGTTAGTTTTCTCAAGCTCGTCGACAGCCTGGAATGTGTATTTTGCCAGAGGGTTGAGCTCAATATGCCTTGAATTTTTCACCCCTGGTTAGTAGTTATTTGTAAGAGAATAGGGGAAGAGGACAGCCGGAAAATAGATTTTCAATAAGGCTTTCTTACTCTTTTTTGTGCAGCAGATCATAGCTGGCAATGATGAATCTCTTGGTGTGCTCTGAGCTGGCAGCTGCCTGTATGAGCCTCAGTTGTGAAGCATTTGCTTCTTCGTTGACGACTCCAATGGCACAGACCAGGGTGTTGATCTGGGCCTCGTCAAGCGCTTTTTGGACTGATGCGAAGCTGGAGTAGTCAACAGTCAAATACTTGATTCCTGTGCTAGGCTCGCGACTCTATTGAATCAACGGATCAATATTAGTGAAGACTCAAGTCACGAGGAGGAAAGAACATTGTCGTTGACATACACTTCGGGAGAAAACGTAGACCTCATGCCCGCCATGAGCAACCAGACCCTCAACGATGGATTTGCCCACCTGTCCAGCACCTCCAGCAACAGCAATGCGAACCATTTTGGATTTCAAACACCGGAATATTGTTTTGAATTATTTAATATAAAAATATGTTCAGATGAGATTCTCTACGTAGACAACGAGCTCGTTCAAGTACTCTTATAAGGTTACAAATCATGCCAGAGGGGCAGGGATCTGCACCCCGCACGCGGCGAGCCGAGAAAGGCATCTCCGGACCCCGTTGCTGGAACTGAGTATTTTATACTGCGGTACTGCCAAATCGAATTATACACTTGGATCAAGACCAAAGTCTCTCGAAATTTATTCTCGAATACCATTCTCTTGCTCGAAATTCTGTTATGATCTATATATAGCATCATACCGGTGGTAGTTGTCAGGTGATTGCGTAAGATCAGGGGCAGGGCTCAAGGCTTAGCCTTGTGGCGTAGCTCGCAAAAGCCACGGATGCAACCCTTCGAGCTTCAGATGACGATGCAGCCGTCCATCGGGCGACGTATGTAGGTCGATGGCTGGTTAACAAATAAAAGGGGTTACAGGAGCAAATTCGCATTTTAGGTTATCTCAGTTGGTCTCAAACTCGACAATACGCATGCTAGCCCAACATGGAGATGGAAAATGACGTGACGAGAAATTCTGCTCCATTCGGGCCAGCTGAAATGGAGCAGGTGTCGAGGATTGCCGGCTTCCGGGTGGAAAGGTCAAAGGCCTATGTATGGGCCTTGAAAGACTGCAAGTTTCTGGTCTATGACGATACGGATGAGGCGCCCGATCTCAGCGGCAAAGGCAAGGAGAAGGTAGTCGACCATTCTAAACACCGTCATGAGGAGAGATCGTCTGTCGGTAGGGGGGACATGTGTGAAATTTGTTCCACCTGCCCCGAGTTTCCTCATGACAAGAAGGCGAGGAAATTCCGCCTTTACAAACCAAGAGAAGCCTTTCCCGACCTCGAATTCGGATTGAACGAAAACTGCCATCATTTTGTTGCGGTATCCTACTGTTGGCCAGTTCCTGAAATCGACGATGAAGGCCAGATCATCCAAGAAGAGCGACACTACCAAGTTCGTGATTTGGATGGGAAGATTCGGGCAAATCGCGCCTTGGACGATGTCATTGACCGCGCTGTCGACGTTGCCAACAGTTTCGGCCTTCGTATGATATGGATTGACCAGGAATGCTTGCCGCAGCCCACCGAGGGCAGCCCCCAGCGAGACTGGGACGAGCAGCAGATCGGTGTTCAAGCAATGGACATTCTCTACAGCCGCGCCATGATCACGGCAGCCTTTCACTCCCTGGAGCTAACGAGCCAAGCACAAGTGGACGCCATCCGGTTTGCCATCGACCGCGATGACGGGCAGGGACGCATGCATTCTTTCACTCATATCGTTGATTTCCTCGATGACGTCTCACGCGACCGGTACTATGAACGTGCCTGGGTCGTCCAAGAGTCATTGAGTGCGGGTAATCGTCTATTTCTTGTCTTCCGACGGGCACCGGGTATAGATTACCCTTCCTCCTTCCGCATCGGCCGTCGAGGTTTCCGCGCTCCTGCTCACTCCTTAGATGAAGGAGTCCGCGAAATACCATCCGAAGTTCTTTGTATGGGCGTCCAAGATTTCCGAAACATCGTGGAGGAAGCAAGAACAGTGGTCGAGCGCAATTCCTTCCAGCAATCTCACACAGCCGCCATACGGTTCAACGGCACGATGTCCCCCGATGCCGCAATTGTTCAAAAGGTGCAGGGCTTACACCCGGCAGTGATCCAAGGCAACAGTCTCCCGTCTCAGATCACTCTATTCTACGACAGCGGCATGGCTAGGAGAGACAGAATCGATGCGGCCGGAGCACTTACACTGTTGAGAACGAGAGGGTGCCGAGACGTCAAGGACCGTATTGCCATCATGGCCAACATGTGCGGATACGAGACTCGTCTGGATACAAACGCCGTGGAAGAGCATTGCAAGTCCCTCCGCGTCGCTCTGCTCACCTTGTCGATTCTCAACGGAGACTTTTCACTCTTGGTGCCTGAAGTCTACGCCCCGTGGGGAGATGTAACATATGTCCCTCAAGTTGAAGAATTTCGAGAGAGCCCGAACTGGCTTACTCCATTTGACACGCGGACCTCTGAGGCGGATTATACAAAAATTCAACGCATTGTTGGAACTCGGTTCAAACCATACACAAACCCATTCTCCGTCTTTGACTTCCCCGCCTACCTCTGGGTCGTGGAGGATCTGATTGACCTCACACCGGTGCAGGAACAGTGGGCAGAGGAGTGGGCAAGGCTCAAATGCATCTCTATGGTGTTCAATGGTCCAGCAAAGGGGGAATCAAGTGATGCTTATCTATCTCGCCGCCAGCATATTACCGCCCACTTTTCCCGTTCAAATGTCATAGTCAGGGCAAACCTCGAGATAATGAAGGCAGGCTACTTGGCACCAGATTCAGATATTTGGAACGGCATGGATAGCTCTGGCGTTGAGGTCATCCCGAGTCTGCTCGCGGAACGCGTGGAGAATGAGCCACTGAAACAGCACTCTATTGGCAGAATCTTCTTCGGCATCTTGCGGTGTTTATGGGATCAAGCTGACTCTGATCCCAACGCCTTGGGTGTTGCCAACAGTATATGGCAGTCGATGAGAGTAGATTCTCTTGATGGGGAGAACAAGCGTCCAGCTCTCCCGGATGAGGTTTCTGAAGCCTTGTTCAGTCACCCTGATGTTGTAGCACACCCGTTTGATACATTGCAATTTGATCGTAGCCCCGATGGTCAATACCATCAGGTGTGGCTGTTTGACCGTATCATGTCGCTGGGATTCCTCTGGGTCGGTCGTTATCAGCGCAGCACCAATCCCAGCACCTTAAGACCCGAACGACCCGACTCCGAAGCCGAGGATGACTCTGAAGATGATGCCAATGCGGTCGAGGATCTTCCGTCAAACTTCAGTGATATGTCTTTGCTTCCAATTCGTGAGAAGCCAATAAAGAAACCGAAACCCAAGAAAGAGAAGAAAACAATGGACTCCTCTGTCTAGGGTCGACAGCTCCGTCGGCAAATGCTGGCCATGATGCTGGAGAACACTCTTCTGTCTCCCGTCTTATCGGGCGAGGATAAAAAAAGCTATCCAGATATCAACATCAGTTCCATGTCCACTTTTGCCATCATAGCAGGCGAGCGAGTGTTTGAATTCGCCGAGGAGCAAAAACGCCTCGAAACCCTCAGGTCTGTCTTTGACGTCGACGGGCCCTGTACAATAGCGACTCTGTACAATTCGGACTGGGAGGTGCTGCCCCATAGAGACTTGAGGAGCATGACTGTCTGCTGGGTCGTGGAAAAGGAAGGTGATGATGACGGCCCGCCGGAGTTGAAAGCAATTGAAGCGGGAGATATCGTTGGTCCGATAGAGGATGATGAGCTGTTGGACCGTCTTAGGAAGCATTACGACGAAGAGGATCGTAGGTATAAGGTCATCACAAAGGTCAAAGGAATGTGGCAAATGATGGACTTCCCATCTCAGTCATATACATTTGGGTAGATCAATTCTTGATGAGCACCTCTACGCTTTGTAAGTGTGAGATCTACATAGAGCGCTCTCGGTCCTCAGTGGTGGCATCGGAGACGTACGAAACGAGGCTAGGGAAAGAACTAGGTCACTGGGCAGAAGATCAAGTTCTACGGCGGCCACCCAAGAGGGTGAGATATGATCTGGACGATATTAATAGTTTAATAACAAATTATTTATTAATATAGAAGATTCTATCGGTAATTAACTCTTCTTTGAGAACACTTAGGCACCTTGGAGTGATGTTGGTATACGCCAGGTTTAAGGTAGGTAGTATCGAAGATTATTATCAGGCTGGCCTGTTCCGTACTTGCCTCCTGTTTTCCTTTCCTTCTTTGGTCACTTACAAGCCATAGAACACGAGCCCCTGTGAGCCTCTCCAGTTTTCTTGCTTGCAGTTAGTTGGAAATTATACTCATTTTCATCTCTACATTGTCTCTGCCTTCTTGTACTGGAACAACAGCGTATATTCCTGTATTAAAGCTCTTCCAAGCGCTGGAGACATTCTCTCCTGACTTTAATATTCTCATGTGGGGTTTGGAAGCGGGGCGGCAGTTGCTTGACGCTTGTGGTTGTGACGGAGGACGATGGATCTTCTGAGGCTGTGTTATACTAGGATCTAGTCCCCACAAGATAAAACATGGTGCCCATCCCCTGCATCATCAGACACGCAAGGTGATGACGTCCGCTGTCGGTAGTCGGGCGCGATCAACGCCGTTGATCGACAGCTCTACACCAAATCTGGGTTCACGTCGTCGACCACCAGGTGACATTTCAGGAGTTTGAGACCGTCCGTTGAAGTGAAAGAATGCGCCCATCCCGCTTATGTTACGGCACAGTGAATACAACAGCGTAGAGAGTTGGCTGAGTATTTGTAGTGCTTACTGAAGAATTATTTTCCCATTTTGCTTACTATACTTATGTACATCATGCCATACATACTCAGCATTGGTCGAAATAAAGAGTGGTTTTTTCTCCTTGGCGGCCTCCTAGTTGAGTGAATCACTGGGCATATTTTAAACCAATTCCATTCTTGTATCTACCGCATCTCCATGACCACGCATAGAATGACCCATACACTCTACTTGGAAATGTATCTCCTTAAATGTCGTGCGAGTTTCGTAGTCCATGTTAAAATAAGAAATTTCATATCCCTGGCACAAGGCAAATACTACAACAACCCCTTAAATTGAGATAGTCCATTCGAACATCATTTCCAATGCAAGTTTCTAATAGAAAACTCTCCCATCTCGGCAAGCCATCTAGTTTAATGTACTTTCAACCATCAAGTTTCACTACATGAGGATAAAACTAGTGTTCGGCCAAGAGATAAAGGTGATCCCCGGACGTTGTAGAGACACCGTCCCAAAAAAAAAACCCGAGACCCGCCCTTGCAGAAACAGAACCTTGTTAGCGGTTCGGGACGCGTGGCTTTTATCAATCGACAGTTTCTCTACGCCTAACAATCCAGTAGACATA